TCTCGTATATTCAGAATCTCGCATTTTCAGAATCTCGCATTTTTAGAATCTCGCAATTTCAGTCCCACAACCTTTCCAAGGACTTTCCAAGATTTCCAAGAATTCGATGAATCATGATTTATCACAGAGTAGGTGGATCACAACAAATCCATCGAATGTCTGGGCCACTAATTTCAGAATTTCGGAGATGTCATATGCGTCGTACGGATCGTTTTTCCTGGAAACCGCCAACGTTTCCAGAAACTTCCAAATGCGGAGGCTCTGTTAGTTCTAGTTAGTAGAAATGCAGCTAGTCTATGGAAAATGCGAGATTCCGAAAATGCGAGATTATCAAAATGCGAGATTCGGAAAATGCGAGATTCTAAAATGCGAGATTCCGAAAATGCGGAGATTATCAAAATGCGAGATTCGAAGATGCGAGATTATGAAAAGGCGAGATTATCAAAATGCGAGAGTTAAATAAAAGTTTGCTATTTAAGGATCTTCTTCCCTTTCGTTCGTCATATCATTATTTAAGTGCTAAAATCTCAGTAAGTCTCAGTCATAAAAATTTGTGCCCATAAAACGCTCGTCCGGCCGACCAGAATTTCAAATGTTGCGTGTGATGTGCTCGGAATTTCCTAAAATCCCCATTTAACCCTCGACACTTCACGGATGAAAATTATTTCGTCTCGACGCTTCTTTTTACCCCCACCAAGCTTCATTACAACGAAAAAGGAACCTCACGAAGGAGAAGTTCGGGGTATCTCGCGCCCCATAGCTTCTCCATCTTTTTTCTCCCGCCATTTATTTTGACCTGTTCTCGTTAGTATTATTTCCACTCCCTAAGGAACGGCAACCAAGTAAATAAATTGGGGCGCACTTGCTCGTATTCGGCTGGCCCTCGTCTGGGAAATTTATGCTCTCCCTTTTCGCACGCGTTATGGCACGTCGTGGCTCAGAAGGCTTCTCCCTTGATTCCGATTCCAAAGTATCAGGGGGAGGCCCTTTATTCTTTGAAGGGTAGGCCCACAACTGGGAGGAGAGCGCGAAGAAATGGGGAAATTAGATGTTTGTGACTCCCGTCACGTCGCATCCACCCACAATTCTAGGGGTAAGATTGGGGCGTCGCATCAGAGATCCCCTGCCTCGCGTATTACAATTGGCAGCGAATCCCGGGTGGGAGGGGAGCGCCAATTTGGTCTCTTAATCTGTGGCTTATGAATAGGAGGACCATTTATTGGGGAAAACGGGGAGGAGCGGCTTTTAATCAGGTTATTAAATGAGCAAACAACACGCATCAGTGAGGCGTTGCGCTTTGCCCTTCTTCAAGAGACCATCCTCCTCGTTTCCCGGCCCTCCTAAACAATGCGTCGAAAAAAGGCTTCCGCCCTTAGGGAAGTTCGTGCTATTTGGAATAATGCTCGTTGCTCGATTGGATTACGAGGCCCCCCAGGTTGGAATAGACAAAATGCAGCACCGCAGCGATTACGAGTACCCCCGAACTTTTATAGTTTCCTCGTTTCTGTTGATGATCAACGAGGCGAAGATTTCGAGAGGCGGAACCAAAGCTTCCCCTTCTGAGAGAGGATGTATTTATGGGGCGGTCCAGGGGTAGTCTGCCCACCCCGGATGAGCCCAGCCGCGAAAATTGCTGTGGAATTGTGAGGTCGGCGTAAAGCAGCTCCTGTTTCAAATTATTCCCCCTCATCCTTTCGGTCATTTGCCCACGACTGTGTTGTCTTTTCTTCGCCTTTCTTTCGATTGTCTTCCCGCCCTTCGTAGACTCATCCGGGCTGAACTGAAAGGAACGCCCATCCATCATTCCTCTCCCCACTTTTCTTTGATACATACCCACTACAACCCAAATAGGCCATTCCGAAACTCCAGCGATAAATTTGAATCTGATCGGGCCGACTTTTTGGGATCGATTTATCTCCATTCATCTATACCAGCCATAAGTCAGTGTGCACGGAAAACAACTCTTGCTCGTTGGGGCCCTCTATGGAATAAGCGATTTCGAGGAATCGTATGCTGAGTATTTTGCTGGTAACGAATTTTTTCTCTGCCCCCAAGAGCCCACGCACCATGGAAATTGGCGAGCAAATTAGCAATTTTAGCATGCTGACTTTTGCATGAATGGCATAAATTGCAGTTGTCATCCCCTTCTGAGTCCTTTGCTACGCAAGGAAAAAGCGGGGCATGTCTAGGCGGGATCAGATATATTTTACAAAGATATTTTCCAAGGCTCGGAAGCGCCTCTTGCCTCGAGATTTTGCATGACTTATCGTGCCGATTCTAGTGATTTAATTAACTTTGGCATATACAGTATTTTGTCTAGTTATATATTGTTGGCCTTGTTAGTGCCACATGTCGTCCTAGGCCTTTCATAAGCCCAAAAATAGAGCATTGAAGACGCGCTTGCTAGGAGACTTTTTGGGTGACCCTGATTGCATTTTCGTGGCCCAGGCGCTTCCAATTCACCGTTTCGCGGAAGGATGGTTGAGACGTTAGCCGGAAGCAAAGCCCCAAAAGGTGCCATGGTTGCAATCAGGCTTGTGCTACAGGTGTTCCTCTTTCCGGAGGCCACGCGTTGGTCATTTTCCGGCAACATTGGATTTCCGGTTTTGTACTTTTAGACCCATGGCCGAGACCAAATTTCTATCGACTTGTTTTTGTAAGAAGAACAGTGCGTTATTTCACGTTAAGCCTACCCCATCTTACCTAAATATCTTCCCAACCGCCTTTTGCGTTATTCGGCCCGATCTCTCTAAATCCAATGGCATACTACCATGTTTTTTCTTTTTCCCAGCTTACTTATTTCTATGACCGTGCCCAAAACCGCTTCGCAGGCCTTGGGCGCTGGAATCCGCCCTTTTCATGTGAAATTTGGCTTCCGATAGCTCGGGTCCTTCGGACCCCTTCCCCCCCGACCAAACACGCGCATGCAGCTTCTCCGGAAGAATGAGGAAATTTTTAACATTATACAAATTAGCCCTCCCGGACCCCCAAAAATGAATAAAACCGTCTTTTACTTTTAAGAAAAAATCATATAGGAGATTCTGAAAACGTGGGTACTCCAAGTGATGGAGGTGTAGAGCATTTTAAGCACGGGAAGGCCCTCAAATCAGGCTCGAAAGTGACATCCACACACGCCCACACACAGAGATACATCCCAAAATTATATCTTACCAGATGGTTTCATAATTTTTTATCAGTTTGGGGGTTTCTGACCACGCACTATCCGAATCCAAAGAGAGCTAAGCTCTAGCTCCTTTCCCCTTCGAGTTGAATTCGGCTTCAGACACACTGACGCCTGAAAAAAAGTATTATTGGTCATTTCAATGATCTATCCGGCAATTTCATTTTTGATACTCATTTTTCTCCCGCCATCTCAAGCTCACACATGCCCTTTTACCTCAAAACTTGCTCACCAAGCAGCTGCCCTTTCAAAAATTCTTTTACCTCAACTATAAGAGCCGAAAACATTTTCTCATTGCCCTTTTGTCCAACCCACGCGCTAATTGAATTTCGCGTTGTTGCAATTTGACGGAAGCCCTAGTGGAGGATCACCCGGATTTGGACCCGTAGGATGTAATCATAGGGCCGATATAATTTTCTTGTCCAAGTGGTATTCCCAGGTTTTATCGCTTTATCAAATCAAATCCCTTCGGCTCCATCGGCTTCAGTAAAATCTTGCCATCTGCTGTGTCACCAAATCCTTGAATGGAGGCCGAAATCCTTTATCTTCCTAATGTTTTCGGGGATTTTTAACGGATTTTGGGAACAGTCCGCCCCTGTGGAGTGAACATATGGGTAGGGGGATGGAGTGGTTGCTCCCTTGATTCCCATTGGATTTTCCAAGTCTATGCTCAAATTCTTATAAAATAATGGCTAGGGTTTTCTGCATTTTACAAAATTCAGCTCATGCATTGCAGGAGTCAGAACCAAAGCCCATCATCATTTATCATTGGGAATAAAGAGGTTTTCAACATTGGATCATCAGGGATGCGACGCGGGTCTCCCTGAGATTTATATCAGCGTTGATTTACCGTAGTAATTAACATATTTTCGATTTCGATGGGGGGTTACGTCTTCTGTCAGATGGATGGGGAGGGATTGGTTTTGCGTAGTAAATAATAGAGTATGTGGTTATATGAATCATTTGGGTGGGGCCTGGGCCACAGGGCTATGGGGCATGAGGGTGCCATTTTCGGACCCTGAAAGGGGAGTGGACGAGGAAGCCGGGAGGGGGAGGGCCTCTTCTTGTCCACCCAAAAGCCCACACCCATCTTCTCATGGCTTTTATGTTGGAACAGGGGAATTTCTAGATTACTCTAGAATGTTTTTTATTTTCCATATATATTCTATAATGCTTTACTTATTTTGTAATATGCAGCTCATCTAGCCTCGTACGATCACAACCTGCCTCGAAGTTCGAAGTATACTGTAGCAATCCACCCATCCCACGTGGTTTTCCCTATCCCTCTTTCAAAAACGTTCAAGCCCATTAAAAAGTTTCGTTTTCAAAGCATACAGGTGAATACTTTTCCAAAAAAATTCTCCCAACTATTATTCCGATCCGGCGTGAATCAGCTTTTGCCATTTTGCTGCCGGTTTCCGGGCGGCCCAACCGAAATTATGGCCATCAATCCTGTGGCGCTAGGGTTATTTAGAGAAGAGGCGAGATTCAGGCAAGGCTTCGTAAAGCTAGCTGAATCCGTTTTCTTGTTTTTTTTCTAAATTTTAAGCATTACTATACGCAATTCTATGCTTCTTCTTTCTTTTTATTCGTTCCTAACGCTTGAATTTGCTTTGGTTGGACGTTATTTTCTGCTGTTCCTTTCATCTATACCATAATATCCAATTTGTTATCCGCCCTACGCTACCTGCCCACCAGAAAGCCCAAATCAAATCCCTGGCTGCCTAGGGGCTATTGTTTGTCACGTTTTGTTTACCGTACCGCTTTGAAAAATTCATGCTCCTACTGCACCGACGCGCGACAAAACCTAGAATTACAGATGAACGCCACCGACACCAGTGATATCGAGCATATCGTCGGCCACTATGGAGCGCTAATTTTGACGGTGCTCTCGGCCATCGCGCTCGTTGTCAACATATACATTTTGAATGTGAGTTTTGGGGTCTTGAAGGATGGCAAGGGAAGGAGGTGAAGAAAATGAGCATCTGGAGCGGTTGAAATAATGCGCCCTTTCAGGGGGGCGGTATTTTTGACGTGGGGGCCTGTAATTCATTAGCTGGGTTGTCTTGAAAGAAAAACGGAACGGACTCGCTTTGGGCCAGATGTGTTTGATGAATATTATGGATGGGCAGGGGTGGGGGCTGTATGGAAAACCTACCATAAGATCGAGTGGATGAGTCACTGAAAACGTCAGCGAAGGGCCATGCATGAACCATTCAATTCTTGGTATTAATTAAAGATAGGCCGATCATAAAAATAAAACACAGAATAATACCGACCGTTAATGGGTTTTTAAACGTATTTTGTAAAACTTTATATAAAAATTTTGAAAAACAGTCATATTTCAAAAATTACTGAAAGAATACGGTAATCCAGAAAAATGCTTCAAAACTTTAGTTTGTTAAGGCGGCGTGAAAAAGCAGGATACGCTCCGTTGGAGAAAATTTTCCTCACACACCCTAATAGTTTAACCTTTGAAAGATGAGAGTTGTTATAAATTGTAAGCTCTATTAAGTGAAGCGCATATCAGATCACAAATTTCCGATACAAACCAAAAATATTTGACTCGGAAAATCAATCCAACTTTTCAGTGCTCAAGCTTTCTGCGACGTCCAATCGGCGTCAACCTTCGATTATGCGTCACCTTAACGGCCGCCGATGCACTATGCGCGTTCTTTTACATCACCAGTTTCACGATCAACTTCTTTGTGCCCGAAAAGTATCGGCCCTCAACATGCTGGTCTCTTCTGGTCGAGGTTCGATTCTTAGAAGAAACAGGGCAAAAAGACGTGGGCGCATCGTCCACAGATGTGACGCGTATGCCTATCGTGTGGGGGGAATAGAAACGGGCCTCTAATCCGGTTCCGATCCCATGAATAGGTTGCATAATTTTATTAGTGGGACGGGGCGCTCAACCCAAAATCTGGATCCGAATAGATTTTGGGGTGGAAAGGGCATGGTGACGATAAATTGTGGAGGGCGCAAAGACTAACACCCGAAATCAGGAAATAAGAATTTATTTGAACATTAATCAAAAAAAATATACGATAAAAATAATATTTATTTATTTTTTTGTAGGCTCTGAAGCTTGCGACATTCTTTGCATCAGTGTTCACCCTACTTTCGCTGGCATTGAATCATTATGTGGGGATTGTATATCCGCTAAGGTGTCATATTATCACGTCCAAGACTGTGATGAGTTTTTAAAGGGTTTAAGGTCGGCGATATAGCAGAGTTATTTATTATTGATTTTAGAATGGCAATCAATCCTCTCGTTCCTCGTACCACTCGCCGCAACACTTACCATCTTCAGCGTCCATCCTAGTGGTTTCCGCAGCGGACGAGCATTCGATTCTTTTGTTCAAGATGGATGTGCTACCGCAAGAGTTTTACGTAAGTTCCTAAAACCTCAACTTAAATTGTTCACCTTCAGAAGACGTGTTCGTCCGCTGGATCTTCGTCGTTCCATTTATCTTGATCGTTCTGTTGCTCTCATTCCTCTATCTACACATCATTTTCCATATGTCAACGATGGCCAAGGTTTACTGGCAACATGATAACTAAATCAGAAATTTCAGGACCCATTGCTGACTGCAAATAACAATAATAACCGAAGCAAACGGAGCACTAACCGGAAGCTGCTAGTGACCCTGATGATGTTGGCAGGATCAGCTTGCGTTGGCTGGCTCCCCACCACAGTTATGTATGTACTGCTATGCACGGATTGCGTCTTTCCACAAGCAAGAAGCTTCTATATGATGTTATCCATCATCGCGCAATCTCTAAATGTTCTCAAGGTAAGTGTCCTGTTTGTTGTGTTACATGCTCACCATATCAATTTTAACTTTGTATTTGCAGCTGATTTTCGACGCATTCATCTATGCCTCACGTCTCATCGAGATTCGCTATTCAATCTGGGCATTCAACGTAGCTGTGCGCTCCAATTTGACCGGTATTATCGGCTGTTTTGGTTGTCAGCAGTCCTTTTTCAGTGTGGAACCATCGACACAGCGATGCAACCGTTCCGTCAGAGTTTTCGAAATACGTGACGGACACGAAGGACAATAAGAAGGATCGTCAGCATCTGGCAGCACTCGATGCTCCAAGTGTAACATGTTGGTGTTAAATCGCTCTTGAGGGGGTTGTGTGACCTTATGCAAAACTTATAAACAACCACCCGTCATCCATCGATTTTAGGCCCCGTCAAAGGCAGGACCACGTCGATGTTCATGGCCCCAACAAATCATCCATTTAAGAACTCCCAGAATACACGCTCTATGAAAATCTTCAGTAATTTAGACCCTAAATCCTGTAATTAATTTCCTGCTTTAGGTCTGATCGTATGCCAAAGCCGCAGAAGCTGTGAGACAACAGCTTCTCGTCAGCCCACCAAATCTTGACGTGCCTTTCCCTTTTTCTCTTTTTTTAGCATTCTCAATGCTTTACGCTATTAATGGATGCTCTGCAAGCTGTGGGGACCCATTATTATATGTAAATTTTGCTTTGAATACAGCTCATTTTCTTGAAAAGCTACATTTAACAGTGCGCCCAATCAAATCCGAACGGACAATAATTAATGTTGTCTCGCAATTCTCGAAGTATCGGTAGCTTGTGTGTTCCGTTTTCAACAGGGTATTTTTATCATACACAAAGTGATAGCACAAAACTAGGAGGCGCTTTCTATTAAACACATACTGCGCAAGCGCTAAATCGAGCCACAATTAACATCTTGAAATATTCGACATACTTACAACATTAATGCAGGTCCGTTCTTATTACCGTAATTGTTTGGCTGGGGGATAATGGAGGGGAGAAAAACAAAACAGTGGCTGTGTCTCACAAATCGATTGATAAAATATCTGTGGCGATGGGATAGATTGCCGGGGAGAGTCAAAAACTTCAGTTCCCGATCCCAACGCAAACATAAATCACAAACCCAAAAGATGAGGGCAAAAAAACACAAGAAATGACACAAAATTTAGCATAAACACATCTATATTAGAGAAACAATGTTAGGGCCTAGGCACTTTGCAGTAAACTCGAGGAAATCCCCAAGGCAGCCGCGTTGTATCACCGGTCACCCTTACGGTACGTATGCTATAGACAAATATGAAATAACTGTGAGGGTTGTTTTGAGCATGCGCAAGGGGAAGTCATATTCAGCATACAGGCCTAATGGTCGAAAATGCAAATCAAACGTAACCCAGAGCAGTGATAGCTATCTCGTCTTTTTGTGTACGGTAATTTTGGGGAGCGTCAGGTAGGCACATTGCAGTTTGGGGGAAAAGTGGGGAGACCTAGATTTACAAGAAAACAGGAGGGAGAGGGGGAGAGAACCCGGTGGATATTTGAGAAAGGAATTGAGAGGCGATGGGTTGGAAAGGAATCGGGGCTTACTTCACAGATCACTAATAAAGGAGTCGTAGGGGTATAAGCGAATTACGGAAGGATGATGGGATCACGAATCTGGCCAGAAGTTTTCGGCCGCACCGGCTGCTTCTTCGCCATCGCTGACATAGACGTTGGCTAAAACAAAATCACGTTTTTCTCGAAAAAAGCATATTGAGATAAACTCTAACAGAAATTTTTTTACCGAAATAATGCAACTTTCGCTATACAAAACTTCCTTTAAAAACAAATTCAAACCCACCGAATGGCAGCAGGGCGGTGATCTTTTGTGAGGGCTTGTTCCGGGGTCTGTTCTTTGAACTTGAGATAGGCGACTTCACGGTAGATGAACGTCTGGGCGAGTGTGCCCACTTGCTCAGCAGTGCTGCGAATGGTTCGTTCACCGACATTCGGGGCAATTGTTATGCAAAGCCATCCCTAAAATCAGACGCTGATGAGGAAAAAGCGATCGCGTTTTTGTTTCCCAAAATGCGCCCAAAGAGTCAGATTTTCAATGACTAGAAATCGATTTTCGGTTATCTTAGGGATGTTTTCGGGAAGGCATTACGGTAAGGTTCGGTGCACATGTAGGGATAGAAATGTGTGGTAAGAATGATGGCCCAAAAGCGTACATAGGAATTGCTGCATTTGGATTGGATGGCTGTAGAGAGACAAAAGGCACCACGAATTTGGATATTTTGAAAAAGCAATTAGCAGTTAGTGCCTTGCCCCCCGAACAAAGCTTGGCTGAGAACAATTGGGCGCCAAAAATCCAAGATTGAACCGGTATGAAGCATGAGCGATCGACGAAAAATTAGTGAAATCCCGTAAAACAATTTTGGTTGAATTTTAAAGCTCCGTGCTTCGTTCCGCTCCGATTTTGGATATTCGTCGTGTTCCTTTCCCCGGATACACCAAAAATAAACGAGTTAATCAAAAGTTGGAGGAAAGCTTAGGGTTGCCCATAGAAATGCCCGGAAAAACTTACACCACCGGGCATCGAGTCACCCTGCGGGCCCCAAGTGCTCGCGAATGGGCCAGCGATTGCCGGTCCACCCGCAAAAAGCGCTGGGGTAGCATTTGGGTCTTCGGCCATCTAAAAATGATATATTTAAGAGTATTAGCGCAAATGGTTACCTTCTTCGGGTCACGCCACTCCCATTTCTTGCCAGGAACAAATTCGCGCGGCCCTCCTTCGCCAGTTCCGTCATCTTCTTTGTCACCGCCGGTTGAATTCCAATCACCAACATTTGTCGTCCAGTCGCCCGGCTAAAACACATATAAAAAGTGTCAGTGACAGAGTTGCGATAGGATTCCGCTGAAAAAACGTGGCGCACCTTGTCTTGCATGCTCATCTCCGTCATCGTCATCTCAAGGCCCTTCAGTTGTTCCTCGGTTGTGTTACGGCGCCATTGTTGAAGCTTCGAACCAGCAGCGGCGGTCGAGGTGGCGGCGCGCTAAAAGAGAAATAGAAATGAAATAGATATAGGAAAATCCAAACTATCTTCATCATATACTCACCTCAGCAATCTTGCTCTGGATCATTGACATATCGAGCTTCAGTTGCTCGACTTCGGAAGTCAGGCGATCAACTTCAGTTTGGTACGTCTAAGCAAAAAAAAAAATGATAATTTTGCTGGACATTCTTACCACGGCGGGCATGTTGGTAGCACTGCGACGGAGTTGGTCGAGTTCTTGTTGAGCTTGCTCAAGTCGCGGGACCTTGTGAAGCAGCTGATTGAGGAGGATAATCTGGTCGGAAGTCAATTGTCGCTCAAGGATGTCCATGCGCACGAATCCTTTCTTGACAGCGTATTGTAACTGGAAAAAAACAGAAGTTTAGCTGAAGTTATCAGGGGAGATGTACCTTCTCGGAAATGGCTTGGGTGAGCTGCTGCTGATCGAGCATTTGATGGCGGAATGGGGTTCTCCGTTAAAGGCGTCAACTTCCGGCTCTTCGCTCCAACCAGGTCGGCCATTGTCTTGCCAACGATCGCCAATCGGCAGTTCTCCCCAACCCTGAAAAGTTGTTACAAACACGATGGATAAAAATTCAAAAGGGCATGAGCTATTCGAGGCTTTCCCAATCAAAAACGTACCACATTATAAGCTTCAGAACTTCCGGCCTTGTTCTCCTCCTCGGTATGCTCCTTCCAGCGACGGATTTCCTGGGCTTGGCAAGCCGGATCGCCCCAGGCCTAAAAACAGATGAAATAAATAAAATAGTATTACCTGAGTCCCAATGTCACGCTGCATGCGCTTTTGCTTCGGGTTCGGATCGTGCCACATCATATCGTTGTTGACATCAGAGGGGTAGGGGGCAACCCAGGGGCCGAACTGGCCAGGGTTTTCCATGCCGCGCTAAAAAATCGAATATATTTCATTATTTCATTACTTTTTATTATTTCATTATTTTCATTATTTGGGTACTACGTTTGGCTGAATGGTGAGCATGGTTCAAAAAAAAAGGAAAAAGCTAGTTTCGATCTACCTCTTGCATGTGACGTCCTTGCTCCGGCTGCTGTTGCTGTTGCTGCTGCTGTTGTTGTTGTTGTTGTTGCTGAGCTTGAATATGTGGAGGTGGTGGTTGGCCCCATTGCTGCTGTGGCTGCATGGCCATCAATGGGGGAACGGCTCCTTGGTTTGGCTGCCACTGGTTAGCCGCCATATCGTTGCGTCCAGTCTGAAAAAAACCAAGATTGATGCGGTCTTGCAAATCCTATCAAATCGGCTAGGCGTTTCCCGTCGCAAAAGCAGAAATATGGTCGAGTATCGAGAGCCAAGCATAAAGACGGCAAAATGCTGCGCCAAAAGGCGGAAGACCCTTTTGGGGCGGCGCGCCCATCTGGGGACTACAGTCGGCAAAAAGCACAGCCAGCTGCACGGGCGCGCAGCACACGGCTTTTCAGTCTGTTGGTTGGAAGGAAGAAAAAACCAGGAGAACCAGATAAGGAAAAAAAAAAAAATAGAAAAAAAATAAAAAAAAACCAAGACAAATCGATAACCCCAATTCAGAAAAAAAAATTTTATCAAATCACCCCCCCAAAAAAAACCAAAAAAAAATTCACCAAGAAAGTACCCCAAAATAATCACAGAATGGAGCAAAAAAACAAAAACCAAACAGATATTTATTGCAAAGAACAAACCTGAGCGCCTTGCTGCCAATTCGCCGGGCTCCATTGCGCAGGTTGCGGTGCTCCAACGGGCACCGGCCCACCTTGCCACGGCGCATTTCCGCCGCCTTGCTGCCAATCCTTGTTCTGACCACCGTGTTCCCATGGGGTACCTAAAAATGAAAAGGTTGGAAAAAAGCAGAAAAATTGTATACCTTGGTCGACTTTGTGGGCTCCCCATTGCTGTCCACCGGGTTGTTGCATCGGCATCTTCATCCCAGGCCGCATGTTTTTGTCCATGCCGCCTTGCCACTGGAATACATCGATAGATTGTCACCGAGCACAAGCACTGGCGTGATAGGCTTCCCAAAAAAAAAGGAAATGTATCGTAAACAGGAAGCTAGGAGATTCAAGGAGCCCGTATGCCAATAGTCATGTTTTAATATATGCAATGCGGTTCTAATGCGGCGGATGTTGGTGAAATCAAGTAAAATTTCCGGTGCTCATCTAACAAGCAAAACTATAGATCTTAGAATCCATGCATGCCAGGCAAGGCGAAACTAAAGCAGGTCGAATCCAACAAGCGAATATTAAAAAAAATACCAAAAACTCACGTGAGGCATGTTAGCGACTGGTGCTCCGGGGGCTCCAGCCCATGGCTGCATCGGATGCGCGCCCCAACCGGGTGGTGCTCCAATGGATGGAGGCATACCGGCCCATGGTACTCCGGCTCCAATCGGGTTGCTCACTGGCCGCCACCCATTGTTACCAGCCATCTGAAAAGAAGCATTCAAGAAATGGGTCATTGACGCGGACGAGGAGTGGGTGACCAATGGAAATGCGGTGACTTCGCAATCGGACCCAGCTCAAATTTGCTGGCCAAACGTTGGTTATTTTTTTGCGGCGACCTTGCTTATCTGATCGTGCCCCTGGGCGAACGATCTGATGTTTTACATTTACACCCGTCTCCCTAGACAATCAATCCGCGGCCCTGGCCAAGTCATGTGTAATTTCGCGCTATGTAAGCCTTTCTACTGTGCCAAAAAATTGGGCGAGCCAAATAAGAGAGAATTACTAACCTGCTGGTTGTTCCAAGGGTTTACTGACATCCGCACCCTTCTCTGCTAGTGCCTCCAGGGAAGGGACGACCTGAATAAGGGTAAATCGTAACAATTTCGAGAAAAGAAAACAAAAAAGGAAGTGCAACAACAGCGAATGAATTCGATTAGAACATAACCCATTCCCTCCGAAAAAATGGGAATTCCCATCGGCTTTCTTTTCAAAAACAAGCACAACAACACAATTAAGTTAGGTTTTTAGCATTTCTAATCACAGTCGCAAGTAGAGCAGAATATTTTTGATCCTAAGCAAGCTTTTTCTCAATGAGCAGCATGACTCATTCATCCTCCCCGCACAACGACCATTCGTTGCTATGCGTAGGCCAAACGCACTGTTGTAAAAGCAAAAGTACAGTGCAAATTATTTGAAATCTAGGATTATCCCTCCCACGCTGATGATTTTACAGATTACGAGCCAAATCCGACATTCGATCTAAATCCTATAAGCCTATTGTTCAAAGGAACAAAACCCCCAGATCCTAAGTTGGCAAAGCGAGCACCGGGGCGCATTCCAGGTGCGCATAATTAACACTAACCCTTTCAATTAATAAGCTACTTCAAAGGGAGTATGAGGAAAAGACGTGGAGCCGCCGAGAGAAGCCCAGGAATCGAGAGGGCCGGTGAGAGGCGTTCGACAGAGACCGCCGCGCGCACGCGACGCATCGTCTCAACCTTTCGGACGCACTTTCGCCCCTTCCCGCACTCTATCCCCTCACTGTCATCGGTGTTCCCTAGTGGCACCACGTGAAAACAACCCCGCGATCTCTTCGCTACTCTACCGCCCGACCTCAACGATGTCGCCATGGAAGGCCGGAAAATTGCGCGCGCAAACTCAGCTAGTCAAAAAAACGCTTGAAAGAGGATACCGGAGCCCACTACAAAAAAAAAACTGGAAACAGTACGCACTTGGAGATCCGCTTGCGATTACGGAAGATACCGGGTTGGGATGAGTGATAAGATAAAAGCAACGATTTTGACCTCGATCTGAGTGCCTGACCTGGGTGCCATCTGCTGAGCTGCCATTTTGCCGTCGGACAGATGATAAAGCTAGCCAGCGCACTATAGGCGCGCACCGGTCTTCATACAAATACACCGTTTTTGCTTTTAAATGCGCCTTACTTAGTAAAATATTAAAAATTATACCTTTAGTATTATAATATATACCGTATTTTAACGCACGATAGGGTACTTTATCATGAAACTGGCGTGTTGGGGTACATATTCTCAGGTATCGGTGCTTTATTGCTCAGTTTTAACCGGGTTTTTATGCTTTAATACATTTAGTAAAGGAAATAGTTTATTTGAAGCGTCTTCAGCTATTAGTTTAGTAGTATTGTGTTGGTCTACCTGTGCGTTCTTTTTATTTGAAACGTTGCCTATAAATTACGCGTTATCCTCGTCGTTCTCAAGGTTTTTCTTTCTTACAATATTTTTTCCTGGTTTATTACCTTTCTTACCACTAATAGGAGTTCTTGTTTTATATCAAATAGCCTCGAAATTGAAGCTTTTTACTTTGAATAATCATTTTTACACTCTCAATCCACGAAGTAAACGACTCGTCTTCAAATAAACTATTTCCCTTACTAAATGTATTAAAGCATAAAAACCTGGTTAAAAATGTGCAATAAAGCACCGATACATGAGAATATGGACCCCTACAAGCCAGTTTCACGATAAAGTACCCTATGGTGCGTTAAAGTACGGTATATATTATAATAATAAAGGTATAATTTTTAATGTTTTACTAAGTAAGGCGCATTTAAAAGCAAAAACGGTTTATTTGTATGGTGTATTTGTAGGGTGCGCCCGCCTCTAGTGCGCTGGCTAGCTTTATCATCTGTCCGGCGGCAAAATGGCAGCTCAGCAGATGGCACCCCGGGTCAGGCACGCAGATCGAGGTCAAAATCGTGGCCTTTGTCAGTGGATTTTCAGAGGGGCGATGTCTGAAAGAAAGCTAATGTAAGAAAACGGCTGAAATAAATGGAGAAACGAATCCAAAGTATCAGGCCTAATTCTGGCAAGTTATACCATGACCAAAAGTCGATCTACAGGTGAGTTTAGCCACAGAAACCTCTTGCCAATTAGCGGAAAGCCGTAATTTACTTGGGCCAAATCGTATCTACCTACTCTAGACAACTCCAACCATACGGTAGTACCAAACTAGTCTGCCCCACAACTGGCAACTAAAAAGCTTCCCACTGAACTGGTTCCCACAGAATTTTCAATGTTCAACCGCCCGTTTTTTTTCAAGGACCAGCCCAATTCCTTTTCCAAAAGCCAGCCCTTTGGCCCTCCCGTCCCTATATTTTCCCACGCCTTGGGTCCCGTCGCGAATTGACGCGGGCGGTGAAAAAGCCCCTCATAACTTGGATTAAGTCTACCCCATCCACGTCCTGTAGTTGATACCTATGCTAATATGCCATAAAAGTCAAATCGGGTACAAAGTACGTGGCCCCTTGCTGTTATATCGCGAGTAAATTACCCCCTTTAGAGAAATCCCAATTTCAAAAGCCTTATATATTTGTGAAAATATCTTTGATCAATTGATAGTGAGTTTATCTAAAGCTTTTTACTCTCATTAATGGGCGGGTACCATCCGAAGGTGCAGGTGTGTCTGGTGTCCACAGGTGTAGTATGTACTCACCAGGTGGAAACTTGCTCTGGATCAGCGCGCATTGATCGCCTCGAACAGTTTTGTTTTCGCCGAAAGTTAGGCAAACAAATTATAATGTATTTTGATAGGAATTATTGAATTTATTACGCAAATTGAAATCGACAATGTTGGTGTTTTCCTTGGCAGAACCATCGATAATGTAAATTCGTGTATCATGTTTTTGAAAGAATATTGAAAAGAATTACTTTGTTTCGCGTCTGGTTGGTTGAACTTTTGCAATCTTAGGAATTAATTTTTAAAATCTATAGGGTTTCCCTCGGCGTTTCCGAGTGTCGCGATGTCGGACCTATTCTCTTCGATCGCCAATGCGGCAAAGACGATCACTACGAATACGACGATACGGCAGTTCACGGACACGCTGTAAGTTCATCAACAATAGTACGCCAATATGTGCATTGCTCCTTGAAAATCCAGGTTTATGAAAAGCTCGGCTACAATTTTTCGGGGCTGGTGTCCGGGTCTAGCCGTGCTTTTCTGAGCCTGTGTTGTTCATGAGAATCAAGACAAAATATAAAAACATGCGGAAATAATATGGCTTTTATATGGTTCTTTAATCTAAGGATACTGAATCTATTTTCGATAAACTAAGTTAAAAATCATCATGACTTCAGAAAAATGATCGGCTGAATCGTAGTTTTAGCTAATCCCGGTGATAATCAATAAACTAAAAAAATATCCTTGCAAAACACTATTTCCTTCAGTCAGGAATGGCCCTGAACTTGGCCCCAGTCGAACAATGCGTATGGGGACGCAACAAACGAAGAGCCATGGGGCCCTACTGGCCCTCAGATGAAAGAAGTTTGCAACTTCACCTATCAGTAAGTACCATACCCCGTAACTAACCATTATTCCTATTTTTTTATCCCCTATCCATCTTCACGCTTGCTTTTTAGATATGACCAGTTCTTCAGTGTCGTAAACACTCTCTACAAGCGCATGCTTGAAAATAACAAGAATGCTTATGTCGTGTATACAAGGTAGCAATTTTTGGGTTTGTATTTGGAATTTCGGTTTTAGAGTCTTGTTCTTTGAATTATCTGCTCTAACATGGCTCTGAACGCGTCGTTTCCAGGTGCGAAGGATAACTTGTTCCACATTCGAGCACCTCGAAAATTACAAGTTTATTGGACGAAAAAGGGAAAGACCAAGGGATCAATAGTGAGTCTTCAAAATTAATTTTTATAGGCAAATAATCTATGCGCAATATAATTTTTTATAGTTCGACATCGAGCAAAGATCATTGTGGATCTGCTTCAAGACGACGAAAATTGCGAGCCGAACGCAAAAAAGCCAAAGGCGACTTCGAAAGAGAAATATCAAGGCTATACCTCCGATGATATTCGGATGGGTCGGGGCGGATCTTACAATCAAAAAAGAATGGTAGACCAGACTATCATGGTGATAATAGACATTTTTAGAAAAGAGTCGTTACGATGATGAAGACGATTTCGATAAGCCATCAGATAGACGGAAGTACTCTTGGGAAGATGCGGGGGATGAGCATGACAAGAAGTAGGGATATCTTTGTGCCTTTAAACCGCTGTATTAGGTCAAAGGAGGTCAGCGCATTCAAATTTGATGGTGGTAGCCGTCGTAGGGAATCAAGCCCGGAACTCGGATTTCGAGATGAGGTATGCAAAGCAAAAACTATAAAACAATACATAATTTAGGGAAGTAAGAAGAAGACGGACGACGACGAATTTGGGGAATTCACATCCGCGAGGGGTACGACGGCGGCGGTAAGTTTTTTAAAGGCTATGGAGATGTCATTTAAATTTTAGAATACCTCGGCACAACCGACAAAGTCGTTGGGTCGGATTTCGGTTCCCGGGGGAAGTGTGGCCAACCAGCACCAACTGTCCAGAAGCAACACGTTGCTGCACCACCACCCGCCGCTGTTGGATCTGATTTACTTGGTGGATTTGATGCACCGGCCACTGGAGGTAAGCTGTATCCTATTAACTTTTTGCTAGGTTTATACGTAATAAGACTTTAATTGAACTGAATCGTTTACAGGCAGCGCCCCCTGCTGTGGATCTTTTCGCAGATCCAGTGCCATCATCGATTCCACAGATCAACACAGCAGCCCTTCGACCGCCACGTCCTCCAAGTGGAGGGTCGGCGGCTTCAAACGGATTTTCTCCATCTCAACCAGGTAAGAAAATCTGATCATAAACAAATTTTTATGAAACAAAGTAGGCATATGTATCCATAACTTTACAACTTCATTTTAGCAAACCTCCTTGACGATGTCTTCGGCTCCCCGGTTTCTGCCGCCCCACCAGCCAACAACTACTCCCAAATGTCAATGGATCCATTTGGGTAGACCTAGACTTAGCGATAAAATAATATACGCAACCTTCCAGATCCCTCCCATCACAACCTTCCCCCCAGCAGACTGTCCTGCCCTCATTCGCTGACTTCGGAGCTCCGGTAGCTGCACCTGTCAATAACACATCATCAATGAACCAGGGATCGGTTGACATTCATTTGTTTCCAAGTATTCCTTTAACTGTTAAATGACGACTTCTTTGGTGGCTTGACGCTTCAGCCGACCAATACGCCGAACCAATTTGGGTTCCAGGCAACCGGATCGCAGCCTCAAACCGCGCAAAATCACCGACACCGGCAAAGGTATGAGTCAGTAGAAAATTTCCATTGCTTGACAAACAGGAATAAAATACATACGTTGCGCTTGATATATTTTATATATTTGAAGCGTCGATTTTCCCACAACCTATTTTTCCAGGTGGGCAGCACATGGTCTGGTACCACCGGATTAATTGACCTCAAATAATCTCGGCAATAAGAACTCGTCGAAAAAGTCCATGTCCCCATGAACCAAATGGGATCCTGAAACCTTTAAATCACTTTGCAATCACTTTATTCTTACCCCCTCCATAGTTTTTTTTCATCGCATATCTAAGATGCCTCACTTGACTTCGCTTTTGTAACCTGATTGGCAACGCTCCCTTCTTTCGCTCCTCTATCCAAACGGCAGTTTTATTATGCCCAGCCCTCTAGATTTATTGGGTATAATTCATTTTTTTGCCTGGGCTGTGATTTCGCTTGAATTCTAATGTGATATATCCACTGATGCAAATAGAAGTTATAACTTAATTAATATCAAGTTATCAATTCGGATTGCAACATGGGCTGTGATTCCAAAAAGAAGTTATAATTGTCGACGATTTTACTGCTGATCTGAATAGAGTCAATCATTTATAAGTGCCTTGGATTTGAAATAAAGTTGTTCAAGTTTTAGAGAAATGAGAAAGAGATTGTAATTATTGAAAATACCAATGCGAACAAGGAAAATAGTTCGGAGTCGATGAAAAATCAGTTGACAAAGCTGATATTAACAAGAAATTTTCATTAAAATTAAAAAGCCAATCGTATGTTAGTGTTATAACAATGTTCTTCTTCGCAGTTCTTCAACACTTCATCGACATCAACTTTTTTGGCTGCTTCAAAGCTCACGGCCTTGGCAAATATTTATCGGAGCTACCCCAGCCACTTGTGAGCCTTTGAATTTCCAAGAACCCTTTTGTAATCCTGCAATGGCGGAATAAGAAGTGTACTATTTTAAAAGGAAGGCACTAGGGTTAGGTTGCTGAAATCAAATTTTGAAATCAGCAAAGTTCAGTAGTTCTACCTAAGGAACGGCAACAATGATTTCCAAATTCCACATGCATGCTTGTTCAAAGCGAACGATGGTCTTGGCTAATTTAAGGAACTGGCAACCTAGCCTGACTTAGTTTTCAGATAAGGTCTGTTTCAAAATAATTTTATTAAAAAGCTTAAGAAACTCGATTTAAACAAAGTAATCACTATAGGGATGTCAACGCTAGGATATCAGGATTTTACTTACGCCCATAGGATACTAATGATGACAAGGCGTACTGATATCATAGTGATCTTTTCGATATTTTTCAAATTTCCAAAGAAAAGCGGCAAGGCAAAATTGTGACACCGTACCATAACGCACTGAACCAGCATGCTCGATTGTCCAAAGCCTACCTAGTTCCAACAAAAAAAAATTTAACTCTAAGTTGGGTAATCGCAAGCAAGTTGTACCTGCCTTACCAAGTGCAATTACTCATACACTCCCAACAAGTTTTAGAAATTGAACAACGTGTTTCCTTCGTAGTGCAGCGTTCGTTCAAGCGCCAGTACCTGAATTCCAATAGCCCATCCGCTTTCACAGTCTACCCCCACGATAGTGCTAATTCCTCCACCTTGACGCGTTCACACCCCTCCTCTTCTACCCGGGGTCATGCTACCGATCAATCGAGCCGACTCTCCTCAGTGGCTGTAGAGACTGAAGGACTAGTGGGCCCCCCAACACAGTCCCTTGGGCCCTCAGTGTGCGTGGATCTGTTGGGATAATAGTGTAGGGGCGGATGGGGCTGGCAGGAGTCGAGGACTATCCACTCAGCCCTGGGCCCGCCCCACCATGGCAGAGCTCACCTCAGAGAATACGTAGAATGTGGATAGAAAAAAGAAAAAGAGTGGAGAAGCGGAGGGGAGGGGAGAAGCTCTTGATCCAACCACTGCCACCACTACTTCATTCCTTCTGCGCCCAGGTCGCCTAGCGCAGCGCGAGGACCTCATCGCACCCGCAGTCAGGTATGCTCTATCATTCCGACCTACCGCCAGATTTCGGGTTGGCTTTTGGGCCATTCACGGCTGGCTGCATTGGGGGCCTTTGGGGAATCTGGTTGGGCTACTGTAACCCGGGTGGCGGGGGTATGGGCTACGGTTTCGCTTTTGCCACTTTCCTGGGAGTTTTATGCTGATTCTGAGCGCGTTTTCAGGCTATTTCTAAAACACTACCTAGACCATCGAAAGATTTATTGAAAAACCGGGAGTTATAAGCATAAATCTAGCCTTTTACCCAATCCCTTGGAGCAAGGTATATGGTTTTGAAGCCAAAATGAGCGAAAAACCAATACACGTCCAAAACGGGCTTTGAGTCCAACTCCACAATTCATTAATTTAACTAGCTATTTTATAATACCGTTCCTGCACATTTTTCAATTTTTCTCATACCGTTCCTGTAGGAATTACATATTTTGGAAATATTGCAAATATTTATATTTTAATATGACTCCGGTTTACAGCCATCATGGGAGACCACGAGAATGACTCCTGATGGCAATACCTCCGCCGCCCTCGTGAGCAAATTCTGGAGGTTTGCGACCTTTATCACCCCAAGAATCACACACCACTTAGGACCAGGGCCAAGCCTTACGACTCCAAGAAGAACTGCTGGATTCCCGATGGAGGAGGAAGGGTGAGGAGAAACACCTGAAAACCTGAAAACCAAACTGATTTCTAGGATATGTGGAGGGCATCATCCTCAAGACCGACGGAGACAACGTCCGTGTCGAGATCAGCCGTGGAAATGAGGCATGATTATGCGAAGAGAATCATCTTATTAAGTGATTTTCAGAAGACCTTCAAGAAGGACCAGATCCAGGAGATGAACCCCCGGAAATTGAGAAGACCGAGGACATGTCCAACCTGACCTTCTTGAACGACGCCTCCGTGCTGAGCAATCTCCGTGCCTGTTACGCTTGCATGCTGATCTACGTAAGTCCAGAATATTGAATTCCATAGGAAATTTACTTTAATTTTTAAGTACCTATTTTAAGGTATGTAATAGATGAATATAAGATTAAATTTGGCGCATTATTTAGTTTTTTATGCATACCACCTTGCCGCTCACTTGAAATTGCAGCCAGATTGATTTTTTGCCTATTCATGCTTCTCACCGATCAAGAATCCGTATTACCCCATGCGGATCACCTTCAGTCTCCCTTCCGAATCCCCCTCATCCAATCGATTCATCGATTTTCCTACTCCCTAGCCTCCCATTCTTCCACCCTAAAAACTCGACCCCCAATCAGAAGGTTTCATCACCTCGGAAACGCCGACATGGCATATACCGAAGGATCCCTCTCAAAGCTCTTCCCTCTCCAGCGACCACCCCGGGCAACAGAGATTATTGAATGAGAAGAGAGACGAGAGATAGGTACTGGGTCGCCGAAATCTTCTTCGAGATGCCGTCCCGGGGATTGTGCGTGCGCGTTTTCTCTGTTTGCCCCGATCTTGAGGCCGATGCGGACTTGTACAGTTTAAAGCCTACGATGCATGAAGAAGGGGGGAGCGGTCGGTGGGGGGAAGATTTGGTGGACCTGAGAGAACCTCAAGGATTAATTCTTCCGGAGGAACTGATTGCAGGGTAGGAACGCAACCGTTAGTGGAGATGAAAAAAGTACATCTGCGAACCTAGGAAAAACATGAGGATTCAATAAAACTTGGAAAATGTTGCAATGTTAGAAAATTCAATGGAAATATTCGAAAATTCCGTTAATCAATGTAACGTACGTTTATTAGACTTCATAAATTATTCTGCTACTAAAATTAGCTATCCCTATTGGAAAAGTAGCACTTAATAAAGGAACTATGAAAATCAAGGACTTATTAAAACTTTTTTACGTATATCGGTCGGGTACAAATTTTCGAAAACCTACTAACTACCATATTATACTTTCATTATTATTGGTAAATTAAGAGGATGTTAAGATAAGCATAATCACAACATGGCGCTCAGTAAAAATAATTATCCAATTCAAATACTTATTAAAACTGTTTTAGACCTACCCCGGACTTTTCTGCGTGGTTATCAACCCTACCAAGCGATTGCCCATCTACACCGACTCGGTGGCCCGCATGTTACGAACAAGCGCCGTACCGAAATGCCGCCCCATCTTTTCGCCGTTTCGGTGAATCCAAAACCCCGCTTAAAAAAAAACCGACAACCCGTTCCAGATGAGGCCAGTCACTGTAACATGCTGCAGAACCACGTATAACCAGTCCATGTTGATCATCAGTGAAATCTGGTGCCGGAAAGACCGAGAACACCCAAGAAGGTCGGATTCAAATTCGGGGCTTGATGTTTGGAAATTTTTAGGTTATTGCCTATTTCGCGGCTGAGGGCGCAGCTCAACAAGAGACCTCCGGAGCCCGGACAGAGGTTGACCCTAACCAGAAGCAGGTCACCTTGAGGACCAGGATTGTCCAGACCTGTAACCCCGTCTGTGAAGCCTTCGGTATAGAAATCGATTAATATAAGTGGATTAATTTGTTCTAGGTAATTTCAAGACTGTCCGAAACAACAACTCTTCTCGTTTCGGAAAGTTCATCCGTATCCACTTCTCCAAGCAGGTAAGAAAAAATGTTTGAAGACATTCTACTAACTTTCAGGACCGCGTTTTTCTATAAAATTCTATAGAATTAAAACATGCATAAAAAAATAATTATAGGGACGTGCCGTTCCTTGCGACATTGAACATTATCTCCTCGAGAAGTCTTTGTGTCATCCGACAGGCTCCCTGGAGAGCGTTGGGCTACCACATCTTCTACCAGGTATCGTATATTGATATCAACTAATCACTCCCATATTCCATTCCAGGTCCTTCTGGCTTCAACCCGGACCCTCATCACGCGACTTTCTTCTTGACAAACCCACCAAGGATTAGTCGCCTGCATTGCCCAGGCCGAGTTGAAGATCGATGGTGTTAACTGACAAGGAGGAGCACTAGCTGACTGATGGCATACCATCAAAGCACTCACGAATAATCCATTATTTCAGAGGCCTCTGATATCCCCAACTTCAGCGCCCGTGAAAAGTCGGAGTGTGTACCGCCTCATGTCTCCCATCATGCACATGGGTAACATGAAATTCAAGCAACGCCCGCGTGAAGAACAGGCCGAAACTGATGGAACTGATGGTTTGCCATCTTCAGCCACCCTAAACTCTTTAATTCCAGAGGCTGAGTATACTGCCAAGATGTAATGGTATTGACTGGGAAGAATTTCTGAAGGCTCTGACCTGTCCTCGTGCTGTCAAGGTCGGAAATGAATGGGTGAATAAGGGACAGAACGTCGACCAAGTCAATTGGGGCCGTCGAAAGTTACATGGCTAAGGGTAGGATAAGCCCTGAAACTCAAGCTCAAACCTCAATTTAGGTCTCGGTTATGCCTGTATCTTCGGATGCCTCGCGTCAAGAAGTGCAACCAGACCCTTGACCAACAGGGCATCTCCCGTACTCACTTCATCGGTGTGCCTGACATTGTTTACTGGCTTGAAATCTCGACTCAACTCCTCTGAGCAGCTCTGGATCAACTTATCAACGAGAGGCTCCAGCAGCTCTTCAACCACCACATGTCAGTGTTCGAGCAGGAGGAAGTAGTGCCTCTCCGAGGGTATCCAATGGACCTTCATCGATTTCGGACTCGATCCCCAGGCTTGCATTGAGCTGATTGAGTGAAGCCTATGGGTGGGTCTTTAGACTCTTTTAGACGTTTCTGTTTTAAATATAATTTGCTGTATTTTGTAAAAGTAAATTTAAATATAATTTAAGGTATGCTGAACTATCTTTACATATAATTTAAGGTATCCTGTCCAGTTCCTGATGAGGAATGCATCGTCCCCAAGGCTACCTGACTTGACCCTTGCCCAGAAGCTGAACGGAGCAGCACTTGGGCAAGCACCAACTCCGAGAAGCCTCAAGCCTCCAAAGGGAAAGTGTGAGGTTGAGGCCCACTTTGCCATGAGGCATTACGCCGGAACTGTCCGTTACAATGTGATGAACTGGCTGGAGAAGAACAAGTGACCCCTCAACGATACCCTGGTCCAGTGCATGAAGGTCCTCAAGGAAAACGAGCTTTTCGTCGAGGTGTGAAAAGATTACACCACTCAGGAGGATGCTGCCGCCTTCCAGGCTAAGGGAGTGCTAGAAAGATCTGTATTTTTCATTATGTACAACTTTCCTGTAGGTGCCGCTGCGAGGCAAGAAGAAGGGTTAGGCCGGATCATTCCATGACTGTCTCTATGTTGTACCGTGAGTCGCCGCTCAAGCTGATGACCATGTTGCACTCGACCCACCCTCACTTCATCCGCTGCATCATCCCCAACGAGAAGAAGAAGCAGTCTGGTATGTCAAATTTTGTAGGAATTGACTTAACCCTGCGTTTCTAGGCATGATCGACGCCGCCCTGGTGCTCAATCCAGCTTACCCGCAACGGTGTGTTTGAAGCGCATCCGTATTTGCAGGAAGGGATTCCCAACAGAACCCCAGCACCCTGACTTCGTTCAGCGATGACGCCCTCCTCGCCGCCGATGAGGCCAAGTAGGCGAACCATATCTATACTGTAACCCGCTCTTTCCAGGTCCTCCGGAAGACCCGAAGACTTCCGCGGCTGCCGCTTGCCCGCATTGTCAAGGAGAAGAAGCTGACTGACGGTAACTTCCGTGTCGGTCTCACGAAGCTGCAAAACACTAACCTAGTTATCCAATACCCATCTGTTTTCAGGCCTTCTTCAAGGCCGGTATTGTTGCCCACCTTGAAGACCTGCGTGATCAGCGCCTCTTCTGAGCTCATCGGTGTCTCCAGGCCCAGATCCGTGGATACTACAGCCAGATCGAGATCAAGCAGCGTCGCATCCGCTATGAAGCCCTTGCCATGCTCCAGCGCAACGTGCGCAACTGGATCCAACTCCGCACCTGGGAATGGTTCCGTCTCCTCGGAAAGGCTATCATATCAACTGATCGCAATAACGTATTTGCATCCTTTAGGTCAAGCCGCTTGCCAAGATGGGCCAGATCCAAGAACAGATTGACAACATGGCCACTCGCTTGCGAGACCATGGCCCAACAGCTTAAGGATGATATCGAGACCAAGGACAGGATGAAGGAAGATGGTGTCCGTGTCCAGAAGGAGATTCCCAAGAACTCCTGGCGCAGCTTGAGAGCACCAAGGGTAAGCACAAAACGTTGAGTCCTTTTAACAACCTTCAATCTCAGGCCAGAACAAGGAGGAGGTCGAGGCTCGGATTGAGCAGCTGACCGGACATGAAGGTCACTCTTGAGAACAAGTTCCGGAGACGCTACCTGCCGTCTTGAGGGAGAAGAACAGGCTGCCTAGGAACTCCCTCAAGCACAAGAAGAACATCGAAGGACACTGTGCCGAGCTCAAGAAGAACCAGCAGGTATTTTCCGCTAGCCTTGATTTATGCAAATTTTAGGACCTTGACCTGACCCTCCGCAAATCCGAGGCCGAGAAGCAGAACAAGGAATTACCAGATCCGCGCCCCTTCAAGATGAAATGCGCCAGCAGGATGAGAACATCAGCAAGCTGAACAAGGAGCGCAAGCACCAGGAAGCGATCAATCCGTAAGCTGAATGAGGATCTCCAGGCCGCCGAGGAGCAGAACCAGCCGCCAACAAGCTGAAGCAGAAGTCTCCTCGACCATCGAGGATGTCGAGCAGAGCCTTGACCGTGAGAAGCGCAACCGTGCTGATATGGACAAGGCCAAGAGGAAGGCTGAGGGCGAGCAGAAGATTGCTCAAGAGGAATTGGATGAGCTGAACAAACAGAAGTCCGACATCGAGAACAGCCTTCGCTGCAAGGAAAATGAGCTGCACTCTCTTGGAATGAAGCTCGAGGATGAGCAAAACAATGTTGCCAAGCTCCAGAAGTCGATCACGCGATGATGAGGCCAAGATGAACGATGTTCAAGACCAGCTTGGAGAGGAGAAGGAGTCGCGCCAGAAGGCCGATCGCTCGTCTTGAGCTCCAGCAGGAATATGACAACATCCTGGATGCTCTTGAGGATCAGCGCCTGGCCGTTGGATCCTCAGATTGAAGCCGGAAAGAAGAAGGGACGCCGAGCTCTGCCAAGCTCCGTCGTGACTTCGAAGAAGCCGGCTCGGCTCCGAGAAAGCAGCCGACTGCTCTCAAGAAGAAAGGCACTGATGCCGTACAGAAAGCTGACTGGACCAGGGATTGAACAGCTCAACAAGGTCAAGCAACGCACCGAGAAGGAAAAGAACGCCATCCAACGCGAGTACGATGAGAGCTCTGTCGCAGCTTGATCAAATCGCCACGGAGCGTAAGTTGAGCACGAGCGTGTCGCCAAGAACCACGAGGTGCGACTCTTAGCTTAAGCTCAAGGCCGACGAGCAGAGCCGTCAACTCAAGGACCTCGGATCATCCGAGCGACGTCTCAACCACGAGAACTCCGACTCGGCCCGCCAGGTCGAGGAGCCAGAGTCGAAGATCCAGATCACCAACAAGCTGGCGTCCGTAGTTCTCCGCCCAGCTCGATGAGGCCAAGCGCTTCGGCGAGGAGGAGTCCCGTGAGCGTCAGAACTTCTCTACCCTGTGCCGCACCTCGCAGAGCGAGCTTGAGCAGCTTAAGGCTGCCGTTGGAGGATGAGGTCGCGGCTAAGGTGAAGCCGCCCGCTAGCTCCAGAAGTCCCAGGTCGAATTGGAGGCATGGCATCAAGACCCGAATCGGAGGGCTTGATTGGAGCCGACGAGTCCGACGAGGTCAAGAAGCGCCAGAACAGCAAGGCTTTCGAACCCCAGGTATTTAAAATTAGCCTTTTCAACTGATTTGATTCAGGACCAACTCGATGCCTGCAACGCCAAGATCGTCGCTCGAGAACGCCCGTGCCGTCTTTCTGCCGAGGCCGAGTCGAACCGCATCGAGGCTGAACACCACGGACAAGCTGTTGCCTCCCTTGAGAAGAAGCAGAAGGCCTTCTGATCGCGTAAGCATATATGCATACTTAATGTGCTAATCTATCCACTTCAGGTTATTGACGAATGGAAGCGCAAGGTTGATGAACCTGCACAGCGAGCTCGACTGTGCCCAGCGTGACACCCGTACCCTGTCTGCTGGAGTCTCACAAGCTCCGTGGAGGGACATGATGCTCTTTGGGACCAGACTGAGGGTCTTCGCCAGAGAACAAGTCGCTCTCCGATGAAGTTCGCGAGCTGACCGACTCCTCTTATGAGGGTGGACGCAACATCCACGCCCTGCAGAAGAACTCCGCCGCTTGGAGGTTGAGAAGGATGAGCTCCAGCGTGCTTTGGATGAGGCCGAGGCTTGCCCTTGTCTGAGGAGGCCAAGTCCATTAGGTGAGTTGAGTTAAGGCAATACCAGCCCTATTTTTTCAGGTGCTCTGTCGAGGTTGCCCAGATCCGTGCCGAGATTGAGAAGCGCTTGTGCGAGAAGGAAGAAGAATTTGAAAACACCCGCAGGGTTCACCAGCAGAACATCGAATCTATCCAGGCCACCCTGGACTCGGAATCCAAGGCCAAGGTATCGTACCCCTAAAACACGATCAATACGAAATTTCTCTTTAGGGAGACCTGCTGCGCATCAAGAAGAAGCTCGAATCCGACATTAATGAGTTGGAGATCGCTCTCGACCATGCGAACAAAGCGAACGAAGACGCCCAGAAGAACCTTAAGCGTTACAACGACCAGATTAGGGAACTCCAGGTATAGCGATTAGTCTATTATGTAGCCAAATAATTTAGGTTACCGTGGACGATGAACAGAAGAGGAAGGAACTGTTCCGCGAGAACCTGGCTGTCGCCGAGAGGAAGTTGGCTGCCGCCAAGCAAGAACAGGAGGAGCTGATCGTCAAGCTCGAAGCCGTAAGCCAACCATGAAACTCCTTTCATAATTGTTTCAGATTGAACGTACTCGTCGCCAGATCGAGGGAACCGTCCACGAACAACAGGAACTGAACAACGAATTGAACTCGCAGAACGTCGTCCTGACGGCTGCCCGAAACCAATTGGAAAGCGAGTACACCCTGCTCAAGTCCGACATCTCGGAGGCCCAGCAGGAGCTCGCCGCTTCGGAGGAGCGTGGCCGCCGTGCCGCCGCCGAGGCCGCCAAGCTGTCCGAGGATCTGCGCCACGAACAGGAAGCCGCATCGACGCTCGAGCGTCTGCGCAAGAACCTCGAGAACCAGGCCAAGGATAGGCAAGAACGAGCCGATGCCGCTGAGGCTGCCGTGATGAAGGGAGGCACCAAGGCTGTGCAAAAGGCCGAACAGAGGCTGAAGGGACTGCAAGCCGATTTGGAGGCACTGAAACGAGGAGGGCTCAGGAGGCTGTCAAGGCTTTCGGACGCGCTGATAGAAGGGTTCGCGAGCTGGACTTCCAGGTGGGAGAGCAACACGAAAGCTCAGTCTCAAATTTCAGGTTGCCGAGGACAAGAAGAACTACGACAAGCTGCAGGAGCTGGTTGAAAAGCTAAATGGCAAGCTGAAGTTGCGAAGAAGCAGTTGGATGAGGCTGTAAGTAATAAAGAGGCTGTAGTTTGTGGGTGAGGGCTGGCTTTTCCGGGTTCTAAACACCTGGATGCATTTGAGGGCCTGCGCATTAATGAGCGATTTTTAGGCGCAAGGAGTATGGTTTTTCCTCAATTTCTAATTTTTCAGGAGGAACAAGCGAACGGAAACCTACAAAAATACCGCCAGATGCAGGTTCAGCTAGAGACGGCCGAAGAGCGCGCCGATTCCGCCGAAAACACCCTTGTGCGCATCCGGTCACGATCCCGCATCACCGTTGACCGACAATAAGCTATTTGGTTGAACATATCACTTCACCATCTCATTTCAACAAATCCATTTCAACCCCCGCCGTGTCTCCGCCACTTTCAAACCTACACCCTCACCGAACACAACTCTCCCCAACCACTCTTTTTTTTAGTTTTGCTACTAGCTTTTTTCTGGCGATGGCTCTGTATAGAGTAATTGCTCGTAGTGTTATTAGTATTCCGGAACGATGCCGATAAACGTTTTTGTTCTTGATGTTGGATAACGTGCATACATTGTGCCCCATGAGGTACAGACAGCGAGTTACGACCTTTGGAATGGTTGTCACGTGAATCTAAAAGTGGGGAAATTCCTTCCAAAAATCAACCGGATTTGCGCGTTGTCAGAGATAGGACAGCAGAAGAGGAGAAGCCGGGTGTCTGATAACAGGGGGGCATTGTAGTCAAGACACCGTTTCCGGCTCGACTCAATGAAGTAAGGGTGTTTTCTAGTAATTTTTATTTTTTTTAATAGGTTTGTTTTGTTGAGCGCGCTTGTCGCAGCTGCAGTAGCAACCGATGGTTGGGATGGAATTCAGGTGTTTCTGGGCTTCTCGATAGTAAAGTAGGTCTAGGCGGTTTCCGCTGATGGGTTCAAGTGCCTAGCCAACAATGGATATTCATTCTTTATTGCTCGTGTCTGGGAATCCGTCGGAAACTTTGATACCACCGGCATTCAGAACATCAAGAATCGCGCGCTGGTGAGTAGCTTACCGGGAAACACCGTTTTGTTTAGCTGGCTGGAAATACGTCGACGGTTACATTTTCCCGTGTTTGCGTTCGGGTTGCGCCTCGCCTGCTGCGCAGGTGGGAATTTTACAAAAAAATTAGAAAACTGCGCATTCTAGGTACAAGCTACTGTAAACAGACTTCACTCTGATGGGGCTGAGTTCGGTATGCTGTGGCTGGACATTGAGCGGTGGGTAGAAAAATAAAGGCAGATGATGACGGTGTCTGGTTTTTGGAATTTTTTAATTTAGCCTTGCCTGGCCCGCTGACCAAAACGCTAACCGCAACTTCATCACGGCTATGGCTAACGAGTTGGATGTAAGTGTAGTTTTAGCAACCTACAATAAAAAAGATTAGGCCCTGAAAGTTACATGGGGAATCTACACCAACTACAACAACTGGGCATCGATTGTTGGAGCCAGCTGGAGCGCCTACGGACATAAGCCCCTATGGTGGGCCACCTATGATGGCAGGAAGGTGAGAGGCTTGAAAATTAAAGCATTTCAAATTCGTTAAGTTAAATTTAAAGTGAAGGAAACATTTAAAGGGACAAGCGATCGTGTTTTTATTTACTCGATTTAGGACAACGCCGACTTCAAGCCGTTCGGTGGCTGGACCAGCGTGGCCATCCACCAATGGGCCGGATCCGTCAAGGGGCCATGTGGCGTCAGCATGGATTTGAACCATTATTAAGCATCTCATGTATCATAAATCCTGCTAGATAAAGTCGGGTCATGCAATTTACATACGAAAACTACCCTGTGATTAGCACCATGACATAGTGAAAAGAAAGAAACATTGTTGATTTTAAGACTAGAACTATCGATCACATATTTTCGAGCACAGAAAGTATGAATACAACTATCCGTACTATTAATCAGACGATCTGCAGAACCCAAGATCAGCCAACCGTCCCAGCCTTAAAAGCAGCCGGATCTGGGCTGCAGCAGGGGATAGATAAGGAAGGCCCTATTTGGACACCCGAGAGCTCAACAACCGGCCATGAAGTGAGTTCAGTTTTTCAAACCTTGACCTTCCTATAGGTTACTTGTCCTATGTACGATTATAGCCGTCACTTCTGCGTATGATGGTTGGGATGGCATTCAGGTTTTGTATTTAGATATATGGTATACCGCATTATAGGGCGTGTCCGTCGATGGATTCAAATGCTTGGCTAATAACGGGTATTCGTTTTTGTTGCTCGTGTCTGGCAGTCAATCGGCGATTATGATTACACAGGAATTCAAAACATCAAGAATGCGCGAGTCGGTAATTATTATATCATCATAGATTCTAACAACTTTTAGCCGGCTGGAATGACGTTGACGGGTATATCTTCCCTTGTCTTCGTTCTGGCTGTGCACCACCTGCCAACCAGGTAACCAATCCTAAATCCGGGATTAACATAACTTATCTTAGATCGAAGCTACCGTTAATAAGCTGAATGCAGAGGGGGCTCAATTTGGAATGTTGTGGCTTGATCTGGAGCGGTATTTAACAAAACTTAATGCTGAAAATGTTTTTCAGCTTTGAATAGCCAGCCGACCGTAATGCTAATCGTAATTATATCAGTGCGCTTGGTAACCAACTTGATGTAAGCGTTTAAAATTATGCATTATCATTAATGCATAGATGATTCTCTTTGAATTATTGTAGGCAATGCACATCAACTGGGGCATCTACACCAACTACAACAATTGGGAAGCTATCGTCGGTGCGGATTGGGCGCAGTGGTCGAGCAAACCACTCTGGTGGGCCACCTACGACGGCAGAAAGGTTATTAAAGTTCGATCACTTTAAATTTAATCTGATACTAGGATATGGCCGACTTCAAGCCGTTCGGCGGTTGGACCAAGGTAGCCATTCACCAATGGGCTGGCGATGTGAAGGGACCATGCGGAGTCGCAATGGATTTTAACTATTATCCATAAATTCAATAAATCTTTATTTCCAATATTTTTACTACACACTTACAACACTATAATCTGCTTCAAAGACCTTTAGTCCGATTCAATGCATGTGGCATTATCACGGGTTTTTGAGCCGACGTGCTGACCACGATAAGGCAGTTTGCGAGAAATTCGGTTGTTTTTCTGGACGATGTGCTTTGGCCAAACGGCTGCGCTGTTTCTACTAGTCTCTATAGCTTTTGCATATGATGGATGGGATGGCATTCAGGTTGATACATTTTTGATCGAGCTATCTGGGATTTCAGGCGGTAAATGTCGACGGGTTCAAATGCTTGGCTGCCCACAACTACTCGTTCTTTGTGGCTCGCGTTTGGCATTCCTACGGTGACTACGATGAGACCGGCATTCAAAATATTAAGAATGCGCGCGCCGGTATGAAAAACAGAATTTTCGACGCTTTAATGCCCTCTTCAGCGGGTTGGAAAGACGTAGATGGTTACATCTTCCCTTGTACACGCGCTAAATGTGATTCTCCAGCGATTCAGGCAAGATTGCCATCTATTAATATTTTTCTTAGATACAAAATGTTGTCAAAAAACTGAATGCGGAGAATGCCAATTTTGGGATGCTGTGGCTAGATATTGAAATGTAGGTCAGAACGGTTAAATTATAGTTTTTTATAGTTTCGAATGGCCTGATAACAAAACAGCCAACCAGGATTTCATTAGCGAATTGTGCAAGGAGCTTGATGCAAGTTTTCGTGCGGGGCATATATGTAAACACATGGATTTTTAGGCTCAGAAAGTCCAATGGGGGATTTACAGCAGCGCCCACAATTGGTTGAATATTGTTGGTCTCGATTGGGCTGTTTGGAAGGATAAGCCGCTATGGTGGGCAACGTATGATGGAAAGAAGGTAGTTTTCTAAGTTTCACTAATAAAACTCTAAGCTAAAGTAAATTAAAAACCGACCGACGTGTTATCACTACGTTGCATAATTAACTTGTCTTGGCAAAAATTAGGAAAAGCGCTCCGGAAGCTTTTTCTGTAAGATATTTTCTCTCTCCTTTCGGTGTATGGTAATTGATTCCAAAAAATAGGGTGCTCCTGATTGACAAAACGCTTGGAGCGAATATAGAAACACACTGTTTAAAAAATCTGAAGTGTATGCAGCCTCCGCTAAGGAACTAATAGTGTACCAAAAATACTTCTATTTTTATTAACTTGCGAGATTGGCGGAAGTTGTATGGAAATGCGCACGCAAAAACTTTTTCTTTTCTATGTGCAGTCAAATTTTTAAATTTTGGAGCCGCATTAGCTACTTTCGTACATCTATGACCTTAACGGAAAGCCAATTAGCCCTTCGACGTATTCAGGACTATGCCGACTTCAAGTCATTTGGCGGTTGGACAAAGCCGGCTATTCATCAGTGGGCTGGGTCGGTGAGCGGGCCCTGTGGAGTCAACATGGACCTCAATTACTACCCTTGACATTTTCAGAATAAACTATTTTCTGTGTGTATAAAAGTATTCGGTTTTACTTCCTGGGCTTGGGGTTTCCAGCCTAGTGGTATGCAAGGTCAAACCTGATATGACTGTTTTTCGGGTGGGCGCCTCCAGTTTGGGATGCAAGCTCTTTTCCGTGTGGTTCTTTTAATATGTAAACCTATTATAAAATAGTTTTCTCTGTTTATGCTCTTTTGTATTTGTATCTTTGTATAAGCGCGTAATGGCCTGGAGGTGGCAGTACATATCTTAAAATTTTGGTAATCAGCTGTTTTCTTAAGAACATACGTATTTATGGAAATCTCGGGCATCCCTTTTAGTTACCAAACAATTAAATTCGCCCACTGTCCAGATCCACGTGTTGGCTTGGACGTTGGGTTTTCCCCCTTGGGCCGATGGCCCATTGGGCGAACCAACCGGGGTAATATTTGCAGTGCGTCAAGATGGAGAGGTGATGGGGGAAGGAAGGAAACTGTCAACGGTCCCTTTAGCTATCCTATCAGGGGCAGTCTACTGATTGACGGGAAATACTTTCCACTAGTCGTCGTGGCCTTTGCCATTTTAGGCCGCTAACTTCGTTATTTTTTGGCAAATCCTATAAAAAGCTTAGATATGTTGTATCTACCATTTCGTCTCCCCCGCCATTTAGGTTACAGCTTTTCTTACTATTAGGGTCAGCTATTGCGGGCCGGTTGGTTGCCCGGCTGGGGCTCTGGCTGAGGAGCGGGAGGAGCTCTTTGTATCTCTAACCCTCTCCCATTCTCTATATTCTCCTTCCTCTTTTTCCATCTCCTTTGGATCGACCAGTTGGTCAGTGCCACGTCGACATTAAGACCGAGTCTCCCTGACCCCTCTCTGCCTCGCATCTCATCCTCCTTTCTCCACCCATATTTCTCGAACTTTCGCTTGGCTATGGTATAAAGGGGAGGATGGGGAGGTGGATCGGCTAGGGAGCAATAGTATCTTCGCATTATTTTAGGGAAATCAGGTTCATTAATTGGTTAATTAATTACCATAATTAGCATTTACTTCCACGCTGGAATTTTGAAATTTTGAAGTTTTTAATATTTTGCAAAGTAGACTGTCAGTGTTAGAGAGAGAATCGAATAACTGTCTTCCTGGAAATATTATGTTGCTTGCTGAAAATATTATGTTAATTTGGCTCTTCCGTGCAATAACTTTTTTTTTAAGTAGCCGCATTAATAAACAATGACGATTAGTACAAACGCTTAACAATTGTGCAACTTATTTTCTATATTTTTGTCGTAAAAAATCGCAACCTACATGTCCCCTTTCATCCATACAATCCAAATATTGTCCCAATTTCACACATTTCCATGCAGTTCGCCGGCCACGCCTGCGATGTTCTAGATCCACCCGGTTTTTCAGTCCATTCCCGAGGTTTCTCTGACCGTCTGACCCGAGGGGATGGAGAATGGAGGCGAGAGAAGAAGAGAGTGAGAGGGTGGGGAGAGACCGCAGCAGGGTGGTATTGAGGGGTCAACCAACCCCCGCTCCTTCGCTCTTCCACAACCTCCGACCCACTTACCCCTCTCTTCCACCAGATCCGCTCACCACAGCTCTATAAGCAATAAAAATTGATTCGTTGGGATTGGCTCCCGGGCTTTGGGGGATTAAAAGGATTTATGTTTACATTTTTTCGAGTTTTCAAATTTGGGAATTTTTAAATGTTAGATTAGGTATTATTTAGTTTTTGGAGAAATCCATGATGTTGGACGATTCTATTCAAATGATTGCTGCCAATTTCTTTCACACCTTTATACCCTCCGCCTTTTGACAAAATGTCACCGCTATAGGTCTTGGCTTGCCTCAGGGTATCTTTGGCACCTATCACCCCGTTCGCATCATTATTTAATGACGATATTTTCATATCATTTATTTTCATATCTTGTTGAAATACTAAATGTAATGGTAATTAAATATAATTTTAAGAAACTTGCCGTATTCTACCTACACCATGAAATTCGTGATCGCCTGTGCCCTCGTGGCGCTTTGCCTCGCGGAGCACCACGATCCTCTCTCCGACAAGAAGCACTTCAAGGTATAAACTAAAATTCAATTCATTAACCAATTAATAAAATAAATTAATATATTATTATATATAAATTAATGTTATTATTAATATAAAATTTTGCCTTCAGGGAAGCGAGCACGACCCGAAATTCGATCACGAAGCCTTTCTTGGAAAGGATGCTGCCGCCGAATTCGACGAGCTGACCCCCGAGAAATCGAAGGAGCGCCTCGGGTTTGTGCTCTGAACCTTATAGTTTCTAAGCTATGTTTAGAAAACTGGTCCCCAAGATGGACTCCAACGGAGATGGTGTCATTGAGGAGAACGAGCTGAAGGACCACATCAACTTCATGCAGAAGCGGTAATTGAAAATAAGTAATGTAAAGATCGAAAATTAGTTATGTGAATAACGACGTTGAGCGCACGTGGAAGAACTACAAGGAGGACAAGATCGTTGATGGAAAGATCACCTGGGCTGCTTATCGGTATGGGTTTAATCGATTAGGCAATGGAAAGTTTTTTAGCGAGATGGTCTATGGACATCCCACTGGTGAGAACCAGGAGATTTCTGATCAGTACAAGAAGATGCTCGTCAGGGATGAGAAGCGGTAAATATAATGAAAAAATAATAATTATCATTATTTTTCAGGTGGGCCGCCTCCGACTACGATTCCTCTGGAACCCTTGACCGCACCGAGTACGGATGCTTCATGCACCCCGAAGATTGCGAGCACATGCGTGATGTTGTCGTCTCTGAGACTGTTGAAGATATTGACAAGAACAAGGACGGATACGTCGACCTCGAGGAGTACATCGGAGATATGTACCGCCCGGAGGATTACCCTGAACTCAACGGAAAGGAGCCTGACTGGGTTGCATCTGAGCGCGAGATGTTCAAGGTGGGTGTTGGCGGATAAGTGGAAAAAGTGTATTCTAGATGCTATTGACTTCTAAAAACCATATGTTTATAGGAGCACCGTGATAAGGACAACGACGGCAAGCTGAACCAGAATGAGATGCGTGACTGGATCATGCCGATCGGCTTTGACCACGCTGAGGCTGAGGCTCGCCACTTGATGGGAATCTCTGATGATAACAAGGTAATTTCAAATTTAATCACATAGGGCTAGTATCTATGAACGAAAATGTAAATTAACAAATCATAAATTTAGGACGGAAAATTATCTCACGATGAAATTATCGCTCATTACGATACCTTCGTCGGATCCCAAGCCACGGATTATGGAGAGCAACTGCAGAAGCACGACCCTGCTGACCTCTAAATGATAAACCCCCCTCTCCATCAGCCCCAATACTTCTTCACTTCAATTCAAGTCATTCGCCTTGTGATCTTTCCATAACTTAACGTCATCAACTACTTATCGGGACCGCATAAGCATTTCAAAAAAACGACCGCATGCTTTTCACACACCCACCCCTCCAGTATTTCTACCCAACCCCAAAAAACCCTCTGTCCAAACTCGTTTTGGGTGCTTCTGACAAATGCGGCAAGCCAGATTCTACCGATAGGAACAAATATTCGCCCTCATTCACCGTGCCTCTCATTGTTATTACGTGCCCAAGGAAAACGTGTCTTGACCGCCTAATAATATTCATTAATAAATGGTTATAAAGCCAATTGAATTGGAGGTTGTTGCATGAAAAAGGCGACAGATATAATATAATATTGTAATTTACAAACAAGAAATTATATGTTTTACGGTCTTTGACTTTTAATTTGGTGCCTATCTTGATGTGATTTTCGGATTTTTAGCGGTTTTCGCACCGATCAGCCTTTTCACGCTTTTCAGCCATAAAAAAAGAAAAAAGACACTAAATCTAGAAAGTGAAAAGCGGTTGATTACTATTAATAATCCAATCGTTTCTGTTAACAAATCCCTAGATCATAAAATTGAGCGTCTCCCGTGATAGGTAGGTGCTTTTTCAGCTTACGCTTTAAAGAACCCAGACAAAGAATTTACGAAAACATTATTTTCGCCGCTTCTCGATGACTCAGCTCTATTGTAGCCAGAGACCGTGCTAGAGATAGAGAACGCGATCGCGGGATGAGCAAAGAGAGGAGCGCCATAGTAGGGGGGCGCTTCCGCGCGCCTTGGGGCGACCTGGTTCTTGGAGCACAGCCGCCCACATGAACCCGCTCAGATCTCGTCCTTTCAACATTCTATCGATTATACTCCTTGTCCCGTTGGCATTAATCACAAGATCTCAAGCCTTCGACGTCCCTTGTACCCGTGAGCTTTTTGAGAATTTTATTGCGACTGGAATCAGTAAAGGGCAAAAGGAATTTAATGATTCGATAATTCTCAGAAAAACTTATCGGCAGTAAATGTTTGTTCGACGAAGAATGTTACGGGATGAATACGGTCTGCAAGGGAGGGCGATGCTCATGTCCGAATAATTTTGAAGAATATGATATCGATGAGAAGACGACTGTTTGTCGACTTGGTAATTGAATTATTTAAATTGATTATTGATACCTAGCACCTTCCAAAATCGGCGACAGCTGTCAGCGAGATTGTAAGCCACCTTTGCTATGCCGTGACGGTCGGTGTGAATGTTGGGGTGGAAGCATTGTCAATGGCCAATGCGTAGTTCGTAGGTTACTACGGACATAACCTTAATTTTCTTTGATTAGCATGCCCTGCCGGCCTCCAACTATATGGTGTTGAATGTACTCGAGTGGCCCACTGGGGGCAGATGTGCGAAAAAGATTCACAATGTGTCGATGTCTTCAATGCTTGTGTCGCAGGGACTTGCCAATGTGCGCCTGGGACTACGAGGGATGTTCAGCGCGGGTTTTGCTATGCAGGTGAAAAATGGAAATGATAAAAATAAAGCTGAGTTATTTTAGTGTGCCCGGACGGGATGCATCCTAGACAGACATGTCGGAGGCTTTTTATTAATGATATTGATATGTTGGAATCGGCAGCTTCTACAGGTTTGTTCAAGTCATTTTTGAGGCCTCACACTTTTATAAATTTCTACATACGAATGAAATAAGTTGAAAAGGGTAATTACATGTGCTGGCGACTTTAAGCCTTTTACTATTCATTAATTAGAAAGTAATTCTATCTATATTTATACAAATGAGAAGTCTTCCAGACTCTTGCCCCCTCGGCTATCGTTGCGTGGCTTATGGGAGCCCATATGTTGGCCACTGTTGCAGATTGAGGTGTCCATATGGTGAACCCGATCTAACGTAAGTCTTCCCATTTTTTCAAGACCCAGTTGCCATACGATTGCTCTTTTTGAGTAATTATTCCTGTTCAGCCAGTCGTGCGATGCTGGTGCTCCGCCGGAGGGAAAGTGCCGACCGCTGACTCATTTCTGTTACACAGTCACCGAACCTGGTTGGAAGAGCTCGTTGTGTTGCCCGAGACCGTGCAGGTAGTGGTTGTGAAATCACTTAGAAAATTTAGTAAAAATCTCCTAACTATACCCTGGTAAACCTATCGAATTTTTTAGGGATCCAACCCCACTGTACATCAACGGACAATGCATGTCCATTGCCCATCGTGAAGATCCATGCCAAATTGATCAACAAGTCTCCAATTGTCTTAAATTCTATATTGATTTATTTAGTGTGAAGGCGGAATTACGATGAGTTGTGTATTGGGCGTTTGCCAATGTAAACTTGGATTCAAAGCGGTAAGACGCGCAAAAAAATACATAGGATGTTTTAGAATAATGACGATCGATTCCCGGCGTGTGAAAGGACGTGCAATCGGATTGATGAAATTTCGCTTGGTGATCAGTGCTTGGCTAAGGTATGAACTACATAAAAACCTAGATTAAAATACCGTACAATTGCCCACTAAGCAAAATTTTCATTTTTCAGGTAAGCCTCAGTCAACGCTGCCTAGCCAGCAAGCAATGCCCCCAATTTTCGGAATGCCGATACGGCACTTGCCAGTGCCTATGTGGCTATAAACAAGTCAAGGTATCCAAAAATGTCCTTAAACTTTTAAATTCAAGTTGAAATTAAATTAAATTCATCATTCGATTGAAATTCTTAAACTTTTTCAGGATACATTCGGAGTTCGCTGCACGAATCCCGACGACCCGCTCAGCCTGAACTCGATCCTGAGTGGCGTTGAACAACTATTTGGCAAGCAGTCGGCACCCAGATATTAGGAATATTTATTGCATTGATGGACCATAAAATAAATTAAAAATAATGTATTAAAAATGCACCTGTCGCATGCCAAGTTTTTGCCAATCGATCCAGCTGAGGCGGGCGACAAGTTCTAAGCATACAAATGTTTATATATATTCAAAATTTACAAACCAGTCGTGCTCCAAGCTGGTGCATTATAGTTAGGTTGCTTTGCATATGTGGTACATTCTCTGATATAATCTTCAGCTTCAAGCGGGGAGCTGAAAATATAAATTTAAATTACAGACACAAGTACTTACGATAATATACCATTCAGCATATTAATATATGCTATGGCCAGGTTGAGTGTGTCAATTTTTGAGAGCCTTTTTTCGAAGGGGAAGTTTGGAATGTAATTCCGTAGTTCCTAAATTAACGATAAACATAAAATTGTTAAAACCTACAGCGAATGCAGCATTTATTGTACTCATATAGCAATAGTAAATATTATAGATTATAGAATGGGTGGATGATAGCTGGACAAATAAGAAGACCCTCCCCCCCCAAGCCACTTCACATTGTCAGAAACAGCCATCCGTGTAATTGGCCCGGCTGCCGCGGCAAATCGGAGACTTAAAAGGGATAAAGGGATACGCAAATATAAACTACGGAATAAGGCCGAAAATAAAAAGTGAAGTTTATGGGGAACTTTGGTGTTTTTTGTTGGGCTGAGGCGGAGTTTAACCCCTAGGGATTACTTTTGCTAGCTGTTGGGCAGTTGGGAGTTAGTTTCTCGAATTCAACCTAAAGAAATGCTGCGTTTTGCATCGATTGGAACATTTTTGGTTACTGTGGCTGTTGCATCAGTGGTTAGTTGATCTTATGCTAAAATATATAGATAAATGAATTACGGCGTCAAAGGGCTGTGAAAAAGTGCTGAAAAATTTATATTGCATGTAACCTGGGCAAGACCCAGCTATGATGTATAAGATAGAAATCCGGTGTTTATTTTTGTATATAAAATTAATACAAATCATTTTAGCCCTACTGCCCTGATGGAACTATCGCCTACAAAGGTAACTGCCTCCATTTCATGACCGCCAAGAATACCTTCAACATGACTCAAATGACTTGCGCCTCCCTCCATCCAAACGCCACTCTTTTTGGCTTCGAAAACAAAGACGAGCTGGTAGAAACATAAACCTTTTAAACCGTATATCTATTTTAGAGTGCTCTCAAAATGTGGATGCCTCTCCAAGTTCCGATCTGGGTTAGCAAGGCTCCTGCTGGCAGAATGCAAAGAAAATCGGAAAAGCCGGAAACTAAGGGAGTGAAAGGACCGAAAGCGCGTGGGTTTTGCTTCTTTAAATATGGAAATTCAACTTTAATCATGCCTTCGTTATCTTTTTAGCAAAATGCCCAGCCCTCTACAACAGCCAAAAGCGCACCGACTTCCCGAATCTGACCTGCGCCAAGCAGTACCAATTCATTTGCACCCATCCGGCCCCTCAATGTAACCAGCAATAACCGATATTTATAAAAATTATTTACTTGCTTCTACAGTAGCTTCCTACTAATAAATACTTTGAGCAGCACCTGGAAGCAGAACACGAGATGTATAAAGCAAAACACAGATATGTAATCTAGCCAAATACCACTAATTTCCTGACGCGCCGAAGCCCTGGGGATATTTTTTTTTGCGCTACAATCTGGAGAACAGCCGGCTGTATTTTGCTAAGCATATTTACATATGGATTTTTATAAATAGAGGTCTATTGACGCGTAAATCTAGTCAAAAGTCATTTTCAAAATTGGATATCACGATGGCACAGCTGGATTTTGCGAGGGAACCTTTTTTGGAATAGGGTGGATAACCAAACCAAATTTTCAATAGCTGTTCTATGAATTGAGGTTAGAGCGCATGAAAAATTTTTGTCAGATAAATTTTTAAATTCTCTATAACAATTTTTTATCAAGACGGAAATAGTGAAAATTATAACTTACGTCGATATCCAAGAGACGTGACCAAAGTTTCACGAGTCTATTTTTGTTGCTTTTCCCCGGAAATTTTCCCAGCCACGTCATGCTAAATGTTGCCTCGACTACGGTAGTGATTGATGATGTGCTGTCTATCTTTTTGAAGAGCTGGGATGGCGGGGGTCGTAGAGTGCGCGTGGCCACAATTTAGGGAAGGGTGCCGGACGAGGTCGACCTGGGGGAAGTCAATTGGATTTGAGCATTTGTGTTCTTCGAAAAGCCGCCACCCAGATGCGATTTGGGCGAGGGGGACCTCTAGCTGGGGAGCATTGTGTCCCTCCTTCGGGCTCACATATTCCCCTCCTGGCTCGTTGGCACACTTCACAAAAAACAGCTTTGTTCGCGCTGGGATGCCGGGTTGTCGATAGGAATGCGGAATCCAGGCTTTGCCTAAATTTAGAGCTGTTTTGGAGTATGTAAATCTGTTTTATTGGCCAAGATTTGCATAACAATCAGCCGCAAGGTTCCAAAAGATAGACAGTATACTACAATTAGTGCTTATATATTTTCTGCAAGTATCGAGTTTTTCAATAATTTATAATAAGGTGCTATGTGTTGAAGTTAAACTGATATATTTTTTAGAGCTCTATTGGATCGTGTTTAGGAAATTTTGTAAAAACAGCGAATTTCACGCTTTACGTTTAAGCATTGTTTTTGGAGAAAGTATTTATATTACAATATTTTAACCTGCATACAAAACCTTTGCTGCATTAATTGCCGTCGAATAAATATCGAAAAAGTTTTGTGAACATTTGCGTGGTGTACTGATGGGGCACGACGTACTTTCTAGCCGTTTTCCCCCAAATATTGCTAATTCTAAGCTCGAAAAACAAGCCCTTGAAGCCATTTTCGATTAAGTACCTCCCCCGCACTTCCCTCATCATCCACTTTACATCCATGTCGAAAATCGACGTGGGTCGTCGCGGGGGGTTCGCGGGGGAAAAGTGTGGCGATGCTGAGGCGCGCTCCGGTCGGCCCTACTTGATGGGCCCTTTAAGGGGGCCATGGGATGGCCCGTGTGCTTGGGTTGGGCCCATCCTCCTTCGACGCCCTGATTATAGCTCTTTTATTCAGAATGATGGCACCGCACGCGTCAGGTTCCAGATGGGTGGGGGGCTTTAGGTACTCGTACTTAGGATGGGGGTACAATCATGGCCGCAAGGATTCTGGGACAATTAATTGCCCAATTTCCGCTTTATGAATGGGGCTATTGGTCTGGATCTTTGATACGGTGCGCATTGGGCCGTATGGTTTCCCGGGGTAAATTTTTATTTTTGTAAATTTCTTATCTCGCTGAATGTTAATTTCGCCGAATTTTACCTCGCAGGATTTTTGTTTATCAATGCTAATTATGAGAGTTGCTTGTAAAATTATTAAGAAATTAAGTCTTTTGGTATAATTGGATTTTTCAGATTTCAGAGACCAGATTTTGAACCAATGTTTCTCGCTGATGTTAGAAACTTTGGGTTTTATGTAACGTTCAGTATTCTCTACCTAAAAAGTAGCGAAAACTGCCAAAAAATAAATTAGGATTGAATTACAGCAGTTGGCAACGTGATATTCGGCAACATAAATGTTAAATGCTCTTTCTTGACCCTTTTGCCAGTGTTCCGAAAATCTTTGCAAAAGCCTTCCGAAATTCTTCCACTCCATAGATGTATCATAGTAACTAGCTTCCCTAGTTATTCGCCTTCTGAAAAATGTCTCCATCCTTCCTCCCCTAAAAACTTCCCGTGCCCAAATTTGTTAATTCACCCGGATTCGCTACAAATTCCTGGCTCCAGCCAACGTGGGAATCAATCAGTCAAAAACAGCTCACATTTTTGCACCGCCGTCGTTACTATGTGCAGGCACAAATTATTTTCTATGTGGTCAGACTGATCAAAATCGAGGAACCAAATTTTGCGTGACCATCGAAAAGAAAGGGTGGACAAAGAAGGAAAATAGACGCGCATCTCCACCGTCCACTCAGACGATGAGTGGGCAATCAAACTCAGTAGCTCTCGGCGGGTGAAAAAAAACTGCGCGGAAGGATCTATAGGGAGAAAAAGGACGAATTTCGCATATGGCATTTCAAAGATCTAATTTGAATTTGGGGCTTTATTCTAGTTGACTGGCAAAATTTCGCCAAGAAATTTGTAATTTTGAATTTTCAAGATTTGCAAATATGGGAGGTGCCTCCGAGCACTAAAATAAATCATAATATCTTATTTGAAACCGGTATATCAGCCACTACGCTCACTCATTCTTAAATATACTTTGCATACCATTTTAAGCCTTGTTTTGACCTGTCACCGTCTCTTCAACCAAATATACTATCGAGCTCATTTCAATCCCATCTCCCCCCTACAAACCCCATTCTTTCAAATTCACTCCTTCCGCATCGCAACTGCTTTAAGAATACCCTGCCCTAATCTGCCCTCCCCTATTTTGTGTTTTCAATAGCGGGGAGCAGGAGTGGAGAGCTGGATTAATAATCACCCCGTGTATGATCCCCCTTCACAATCGTTTTTTCTGATATTGTTGATTTGAGAGGCTGTTGCGAACGGGATGCCATTTAGAATCCCGGGGTTCTGGATTTGATTTGATGAACCGATTTTCGTGGCTAGACAAAAATGCGGCTAGGATGGGGGCTGAGAGGCTTTTGCGGCGAAATAAAACACCGGCCATCGGGGCCTCGGGGCGGTCTCTAGCTAGAATTTGGCCAATTATTGCGCGTCCATTCCTCGTTTGTTCGTACTTTTCCCTCCTGGCCCGGTTTCTTCCACATACCTTCACTCATCCTCGGCTCCTTTACTCACGTATTCTTGCTGGGGCCAGACATATTTTTTGTAGCAGTATATTTTCGATTTTTAGGGATAAAAGATTGACGGGTTGTGATGAGATATGGGCGGCCACAAGAAGTGATCCAGAGGTGAGGCTTTTACGGACTGATGACATTTCTAGGTCTTACTGTTCCTTGGATATTTGCTTGATTGGTTAGAGTCTAGTAGAGTTCAAGGGAGTCTAGGATGCAGCCTTACCTATCGTGGGAAATTTTTCTGGTCTTTAGAAGTTTTGGGTAAAGCTAGCTTCAGGGCCAGTAGATAGAATCTGCTAGGAGTTTCCGGGCGATTAGAAAACTTGAATTTGAGTAGGTCAGTGGCATCTAATTGATCGTTAAATGCAGATTGAATTTAAGTTTCGGAAGCGGAATGGGCTGTATTTAGCAAATCTGTACCGTATTCAATCTCTTCTTTTCATCGAAGTCTACGAATTAGATTTGAAAATTCGCACGTTAGGTTAAAAAATTGTTTTATATTGTTTAATAAGTGAATTACAAAGCGCTAATAAAATATCTAATCGTAAATTGATATTATTATAATTTTAAAATAGCAAAAGTTCCGTCCAAAACAGCAATCACTAAAAATCGACTAAGAATCGACTGACTAGCAAACTGCACTTAACTTACCAATTTTTTTTAATAAGGAAGTGCATCTGCTTGAGTGTTTGAATCTGTCTTTCTCTAAGTGTACCTATAGTGCGACATGCCCTTTTAATTGGCCTCCGTTCCTAATTCTTCATACCCCCATCCCAAGTAAAGCTTTTCAGCACGCAGGACTTCACCCCTCTGCCACGGATTTTTTTCAAGCTTTTTGGTAATGGTAGTGGTGGCTCAATTCCTTTGGGCCAATTGGGGGAGGGCCACGAAATTCCAGAGGACCCCATCTTTCGCTTCTTTCGCATCCACATCCTTTAGCTGAACCTCCCTGGGCCATCTTTCTATTGGCTAGACAATGGGCGTTTGGGATCGGGGGCGCCAACTTTCACACATTCATGATGAGATCATTTTTGGACTGCTCGCTTCTTGGATAGCTTTGGGGGAGTCTGAAAAGAACTCGGCGCCGGGGGTATCCCGAAATTTTCGTAATGTTAAAAATATGGTTATCTTCACTAAGTGTTTGCCGATTTTTAAACGTGACCGCCTGCTACCGACCCTTTAAAAACGCCTCCGCGGCCGTATCGGAGCCGTAGATCTTTCACAAGAAAAAAACTTTGATTTTCATAACGAAAATCGCGCTTTTTGTAAATTTTATTTTATTTATCCTGCCATTTCGCGCATCGCGTTAAGACCAAAAATCGGCACTGTCTTTAAGTACTTCCATATAATCGTGACGCAGCGACGGAAGATGCACGCTAATGTAAAAAAATGTAGATATTTTAAGAGTTTTTCATATATAGCCTACAGCGCAAATTAAGAACCAATTTTAGCTTTTTTATGAGCAACATACAGCATAACCACGAATTATAGAGTCGCCTAAAAGTGGGAGTGTTCGTGCTGTGAACCTTCCGGACGTCGAGGTCGACGCATCGAGGTGAGTCTCTCTCCTCCCTTCCATTTATGTTTCCTCCCAGACGGCCCTAGTGGGCCCCCTACACTTTTTGATGAATGACCGATCGTAGGCCAGAAAAATTTGCCCAGCAACACTTCGCCCTAATTTATCTCCATTTTTTTGTGGGTGTCCATCCATTCGCAACGACCGCCACAATCCGCAGCACAAATAGAATCAAGGAAGCTTAGAACTCCGGCCCGAGGGGCCCAACATACAACTTTTGTTTTCCCCCAGCAATTATCTGACACCGTGCGACTTGGTTGGGTCGAGACGAGGTGGAGGAGGAGGGGGGGACCTGGGGACGGCCGTTGTCATTTTTGGGGGTATTTACGGGTGCTAGAGGCTCGATGTCGATGCCGGAAAACAAAAAAAGGTAGAATTATTCGTTCGGTTTTTAACGGGTGCTTAAGAAATAGCGGGTAGTTGTGACACCTTTAGTGATATTGGCTATTGGATGCTCTAAGGTTAAGAGCCGTTCAAAAGCCTCTTTCCATAGGCCTAGATGGAGCCGAACAATTTTTCAGATCTGTGTATCTAGTCTCAACAATATTCTGGTAAATCTGCTGTTTTTTAAACGAACAAAAATGACCTAACCGATAAAACCCCTTTAACATCACCCCCCTCCCCCTCTAACCAGATATCTATGGCTAAATGATGACGGCTGAAATGGGTCCGGGTTCTCCGACAATATAGGCAAATAACCCCTTGGAGAGCTTCCTCTTTCCGATTCTTTCCTCTACCCCCCCCTTCTTCGTTTTCTTTCCTCCTTATGCCCCCCTATCCACAAGACCCGCCGAGTGGCCCAGTCAACGGCCAATTAAGGGTCTACATCATGTGGCAAATTTTTCTTTTTTTGCCAACCCGCCTCCACAAAAATCGAGGGCCAGGGCAACCCAAATGATTCAAAGCAGTCGAAGTCTTTAACATATTGCAGCGCACTGCTAAAAAGCGGGGTTAGTGGACGTCTTCAAAAGGGAGGTGGCTAGGGCCACACACGGGCCGCCGTGCTTCCCCTCATTAGACCAGCCACCGGGTTCAAGTTACGCACTCGTCCAATCCCAGAACAACCACTGGCATCCACGCATCCCAGAGGCCGTGTGGCCATTCTCTCAACCATCTCAACGCCCCCATCCAACCCTTTCTTGCCCCCCACGATTAACGCTCAAACAATAGTGGAAGGCTTCTTTCGGGGGTGAGTTTCGGAAGATAGCTTTTATTGCCGGCAAACTCTTTTAACTAAAGTAAATCTTTAAAATCGAGATCGACTTGTTGGACAATTGTTGAAAAAACGTTAGGCTACTTTTGTTCGGATCCTTCAAAGCTTGCCACTTTACATTTTCGTTAATTTTCATGGCCGTACAAGCTAAGGACTTTTCCATAGATTGAAACGGTGAATTCAAACGCCGCATCCGGTTTTCGAATCTTCTATCACATCCCTCGATTAAGAGGTCGGCCCTTTTTATCAAAATCCATTTAAATAGCCAAAATTATATTTTGTCAAATTTGGGCGTCGACAGTCATCTCAAAGCCATTTGACACCTAATGAGTTTTTCACAAACCTCCAAAGCCCCTCTCAACACGTATTGCTTATTCAACCTATTTCTCCGAATACACTTTATGTTTTAACTCAAAACTATTGCCTTGAGTTTTTCAAAATAAAGCTCGATTTTCAATGACGCCAGCTTATGTAGATAAAATTCGTAGACCGATTCCCTAAAAATAATAACCTATCTCTCCGTCCCGGGTCGTTTCCGGGCCGATCTCCATGGCCGCATTCAAACTTCTCCTTCAAAATTTTATTCAATCGTCAGTTCCTAAATTTCAACCTCAAACCCCCTCTCATACACGATTCAATACAGAAATTACAATATCTTTGTTTTCAATCTATTTCTTTCTTTCCAGAAATATACGGCCAGGCCGAATGTACTCAGTGGTGGCGCTGGCCACCCAGATCCTGGTCAGCGTCCATGCAGTTGGTGATGTAAGTTGAGAAACACATTTTAATATTATTTATTGCAACTTTGTTTTTATCAAAATGCGCAATCTTTCATTTTGAAGGAAGGGACCAACGGAACTCAACCGGTAAATGAGTAGTCATTTCCCTTGTTCGCTAAATGGCGTACCATTTTCCCCCGGAGTTAATTTAGCCGTGGGATTCGTATTAAGGGCTGTATTGAGAGATCAGCATCAATTTTGGGCGTACATTGTATAATCGTTTAAGCTGGAACTATTTAAACACTATAGCTCGATACAGCCCTTCTAAACAATCCCTTTACCCGTCTTCAACATTTTTTAATTATTTCCCCATGAAGCTCCCGATTTCTTTAGCTCGTTTCCAAAGCGGACCTGGCTTCGGCATATCCCAAGGTGACAACGCAGGGCACTAACCAGCTTGCTAACCTCCCGGATATTTATTTATTTTTTGATTATTGGCATACTTTTGTTGTACGACACACTTTTCGGTTTTCGCCGTGAATGGGGGCTCGCAGTGGTTTCCGAGTTGTCGAGAAATTGTTAGCGGGCAAGCCAATGTATCTTTAATGCGCCCTGGCCTGGATTGAGGATCAGTTTGGAAATTTTTATCAAATAAAGCGAGCCCTCATTTACATCAGCCATTATCAGAATAGCAAGCGTAGAAGCTCATATATCAGTTGATCATATTGTGGCTATATCTGCGATTGTTTGTAAAGTAATGTTGTTTAGGTGAGACATATCTCAATCACCGGGGATCTGGTATTGGGTGGCGTCTTCCCGGTACATTGGAAGGCCCAGCGACAAGATGGCGATCCATGTGGAGCAATCGCCGAAACGAGGTGCTTTCAATTAAGCCTCCCCTAAAATATGACCAACCATAGGGGTGTGCATCGAGTCGAGGCGATGCTTTATGCTCTTGATGTCATCAATTCCCAGCAAGACTTCCTTCGAGGATATAAATTGGTAAGAGCATAGAGTCCAGATTGGCAATCAGCGAATTTAGGGAGCCTTGATTCTTGATTCTTGCTCAAATCCGGCGTATGCTTTAAACCAAAGTCTCGACTTTGTGCGAGAGCTGATTGGGAGTACAGAGGTGCGCAAATCAATAACGCTCGCATTTTCCGGGTTGCTAATTTAGCCATCAGAATACCAATGTCACGATGGCTCACCGCCAACCCCAAAACAATCTAAGATGTTGCAAACACGAAGAAATGTAGTGGCCGTTGTTGGAGGAAGTTATTCTTCTGTTACTGTTCAGGTAAAGCCCAATTGAATTTTTGGAACGAAGCTTTAGGTCGCCAACCTCCTACGACTTTTTCGTATTGTCCAAGTTAGTCCAGCAAGCACAAATGCTGATTTATCAGATAAAGCTCGATTTGAATTTTTTGCCAGGTAGGTCACCTACCACTTATCATTAATGCTTGAACCCTCCAGAACCGTGCCATCTGACAACTACCAAGTACGGGCAATGATCTCAATAGCCAAGGAATTCGGCTGGACCTATATCTCACTCCTCTATTCAGCTGATGAATATGGAGAGCTAGGAGCTGAAGCATTCAAAAAGGTTTTTCAAAAGCATCGTCCATCAAAACAAGAGAATTTCCAGGAAGCACGCAAAGAAAACATTTGCATAGCGACCGAAGAACGTGTGCTGAATAAAAAGGAGAGCATCAGCGAGTCTATCGACAATCTCATCAAAAAGTGAGTCTTATTGCGTAAGCGAATGCTGTTTTTAGATTGCAACCTGAGAAGAAGGTCGGGGCACGGGTCGTCGTATTGTTTGTTGGGACAGAATATGTGGCTGAGCTAATGAATCAGGCAGCCGAGAAAATGAAGCTTCAGAAGAATGCTGGGAAGAAAAAGTTGATATGGTTTGTGAGAATGATTTTGAGGTGGACGAGTGTTTTTAGGCTGGCTTCTGAGGGCTGGGATCGGAATAACGAGGCTTACATCCAAGGGCAAAGGAAGTTGGCAGCGCAGGGAGCAATTGTGTTGATGTTGTCATCACAAAGAGTGCCATCTTTTGAAGACGTAAGCAATTACTTGACAAATAGTACAATTCCTTAAGTATTTCCTCAAGCTTCATCCTGGTTCCGAGCAATTTGAGCGCAACAAATGGCTGCGAGAGTTGTGGATGAGCAAATTCGATTGTGAATTTGATTTACCCGATCAGTCGACCAGGAATCGGTTAGTTATTGTCGCTTTATTATTATGTACTATTAAATTGCTATTCTTTTTCATAACCATCTTTTAGTTGTGAAGATCAACGCAATACACCTGACAGCTTCACAGCCGATGATAAAGTCCAATATGTTATCGACGCTGTCTACGCCCTCGCCCATGCACTCAGGGTCCCAAATCTATTCTTATAGAAAAATACCCTACATTTTAGAGCTACAAAGACGAGGTCTGCCCGGAGGAGAATGTGGAAAACAATTGGGTCAGCCGGAAAGATGATCGCCGAGAAGCGTGTGTCGGCATGGAAAATATTGACGGTGGCCGTCTCTATCATCATTTACTCAAAGTGAAATTTGATGGTGAGATCCTAATACTCGAGTATCTAATGATACTTCAGACCTTGTCGGCAAAAAGGTCCATTTCACGAAAGAAGGCGATGGCCCTGCAAGCTATACAATTTTGAATTATCAACCTGCCAGCATGAGTGATAAGCAACGGCGTGACAAGTATGAGCCATCCGCGTCTTTCCTGACGAATCCCGTTTTTAGAATGGATCTCGACACCTTCCGCTCGGATTACGTCGAAATTGGAAGTTGGAGCGAGGGACAGGTATCATTTTTCAGGGATCCCAAAGAGCAACGGCAAACAAAATGCGCTACTTTTTTGCGCTAGGGGGAATTTGAGGGATCCAACTTTCACGAAAATATTTGCAGCTTGAAATCCAACGGTCGAAGCTGGATTGGGGAGATGATGTTCCGTTATCGATTTGTTCGATGCCATGTCAGAAGGGATATAGGAAACAGTTGATCAAGGTATTGAGAGTGGGGTGCGTTTAGTAGGATGAATGTATAGGATGAAATTTGCTGTTGGGCCTGTAGTAAATGCGAAGATTATGAATATCTGGTGAATGAGACGTTTTGTTTGGACTGTGGTCCTGGATGGTGGCCAAATGCTGACCGCAAGGTATTGCCATTACACTCAAAAAATAAGATACGTTTCAGAGTTGCTTTAACATTGCTGAGCGGAATCTAAAGCATATGAAGTGGAGGTCATGGTATAGCATAGTTCCGGCTATTTTCGCCAGTCTTGGCATTGGAACGTGTATCTTTATTATTCTTGTTTTCATGAAGTAAGTTTGAGAAAATACTTGGCGTACAAATATGAAATGTTTTCAATACAATTACACTTTCTTGCATTTCCAGGCACAACGATACCCCGGTTGTAAAAGCTTCGGGCCGGGAGCTTTGCTATATCCTTTTGATTGCCATGATAATGTGCTACATGATGACGTTTGTGCTGTTGGCTCGTCCGGTGACCTGGGTCTGCGGATTGAAGCGGACCGGTTGGTTTTGATCAAATTTCAAATCCTTAAATATTTTGATCAAATTTTCAAGTTTTCAGGCATCGGTTTTGCCTTCTCATGTCTCTATTCAGCAATGTTGGTGAAGACCAACCGGATAGCTAGGATATTTTCACAGGTGGGCTATAAAAGCTATCCCAGCGTTTTCAAAACCAAACTTCTAGGCCACCCGATCAGCCGTTAGGCCCGGGTGTATATCCCCCATTTCTCAAGTGCTGCTCACTTGCTTCTTGGCAGGGTTGCAGTTACTTGGCAGTTTATGTTGGCTGGCCATTGTTCCACCTGGTTGGTACAATACTTTCTAACAGTCATTTAGCAATTTGTGGCCCTAATTACAGCTATTTAATTTAAGGAACACGCCACATCTACCCAACCCGTGACCAAGTTGTGCTCACCTGTAATGTTCCTGATCATCATTTTCTGTATTCATTGGCATATGATGCGGGTCTCATTGTGCTCACTACGGTATATGCTGTTCAAACAAGAAAGGTAGCTTAGGCAATATATCTTTAGTTCCAATTTACATCTAGGTCCCTGAAAATTTTAATGAAACCAAGTGGATCGCGTTTTCTATGTACACGACATGTGTACTTTGGGTCTCATGGATCTTCTTCTTCTTTGGCACGGGTACAGATTACCAGGTGGCTCCTAAGTTTAGCTCTAACCTGTCGACTCCAGATCCAAACGTCGTCGCTCTGTATTTCGATCTCGATGTCTGCAAATGTTGTGCTGGTGTGCATTTTTTCGCCTAAACTGTGGATCATCCTCGTCGACAAGCATAAAAACGTTCGGAAGCAGGATGGAGAATATATGCTGGCGAAGAGGTAAAGAAGCACTTATGGGCATTGACATTTCGCTTATCACTTATTTAAACCATGCTATTTAAGTTCAAGCAGCCATAATTCAATTTTAAAAATGTTTTGTGATGTGCGCTAAAATTTGGACATTGCCCTCATGCCAAAAATCCTTCCAGCCAAGCATCAACACGATTTTGATGTCCCCCTCATAAAGCGGTATCATTTTTAGGGAACCGGTGGTGGCGAGGTACCGGCGAGTGAACTAACTGTCTTTTTAAGCTTGAGTTACTCTATTGTTTCTGTCCATTCTTCCAATCTTCAAATGACAAAACTTTAAAGAGCGTCTCTGTCCTCAAAAAATCGTGCTGCGCTTTGTGGCCCTGTCCATGATTAGTAGCATGAAACAATGGCTTTAGATCAAATACTTCGAACATACACGGACCGGCGCTGCAGAACACGTAAAGCTTTCTCTGTGGTTCTTTTTTTGCTCTGGGACACTAGCGCTTCCGGGCCTTTCCTCTTACAGCTTCTCTGGCTTTTCTCCCCCCAGCTTGCTTGAGTGCTGAGTGTTTTCTAACCCGGATTTTTAGGAATACACTCTCTGGAGTTCACGGTGAAGCCGAGCCAACACCCTATACTGCGCTACTGGGGAATGACAAGCGAAAAACATCACGTCGGATCACACCACCATCCTGTACTAACAGCTCAGCTCAAGATACTTTTCTGTAATTCAAAATTTATTTTTTGTTCAGAATTAGGGAGGGTTTCGGTGGTCGCGATGGGCCATTGGACTATAATCTCTGTTGTGATTTCCGGTAATCTCGAATTCAATTGCCATCATCCAATTTCCGGTGCTCAATCTCTAGTCTAATTCTCACCCATGCAATATCCCGTGGAAATATATGCCATTAATTATGTTCGGTCTGCACAAAGGGTATCTTTCACTTATTTTGGGAATGTTTTTTCTTTGTTTGATCGTGGTTTTGATTTTTTGCAGAGTGGTAGTGTGTAGTGAATAAATTATTGTGTTTGGAATGTTCCAGCGGAAAAGAGCAGTAAAATTACATATGTTGGGATTTTCACCAAGAACCTAAAGAGATAACTTGAAAATTGTGGTTTAGAGTCTCCCTTGATCCCGGTTCTGGGTAGTTTGCATTGAAATGGACCTCTCAACAACTCTTAATATTCACTTTTTATTTTTCAACGTCGAAAGAAATCGCTTTGCACAACGGGGGGCATTGGGAAGGGAGTATTTATAAGACCTGAATAGCTAAACTGTATTAAGCGAAGGAGAAACGGGGGGTAAAACATACACGCATTCTTCATTTTTCCTTCTTTACGAACGGTTCACACGGTTTTTTGTGGGGGTGTTGGGCGTGGAGAGTAAGCACACGTCGGGTTGCGAGTAAAATGGACAAGACACAATATAGGCCACCGATTGCAAGAGATTGGGTAAGGCAAAAGCGCGCGTGTACGGACATTTTAAGCTGCGGGAAAGTATCGGAATAAATGGATGGGGTGCTTGAGAACGGTGACCAGAATGATGATGCAAATTGCCAAAAAAAAAGTAAGGATGGGGCGGTGGGCGGAAAGTTGTTGGAAGACCGAGATTCTAGACCCTAGAGCAGCTAGCACTAGTCAAAGTTGTTTTTCAGCTACGATATACAGCGCCCAGAGGTTCCCCAACCTTTGGTTAATGAAAATTTAGAGGGAAAACAATGATAATCACAATATATACGAAGATACATGCATGACTGGAAATGCTTCGGGATTGGTCTTAATGCTTGAAGGGTTGGCAAGTACATTTGCGGCGGTACTCCTGGAGCGAGTTGATGAGAAGCTGAAAAATGATGATAAAATAAACAAAAAAAAGTTGGTACGATAAATAATGTATATTTGTAAAGTTGTTCTCACCTTGTTCTCGCGCTCCAGCTTGTCATTGTGAGAGCGAAGATCACTGAGCTCCTTCTCGCGCTTCTCTTGGGCCTCCTTGGCCTTCATGCGGCTACGACGAACAGCATCGTTGTTACGCATCCGCTTGATCTTGTAGTTGTTGGTCTCCTTCTCCTGTAAAGGCTACAGATAAGTATTTTATTGATTGTTCAAAGGCCAAACTTTCGGTGATTTAGACAAACCCGCACCTCCTTAGGCTTCAAGTTGTACTTTCTGGCCTTCGTGGTCGGAACGTAGTTCTTGTTCATCGGCGGCTTCGAGGGTTCGGTCATAACAGGATACTTCTGGACGATTTGTGTTCGTGGCACCATCACGGTTCTTGGTTGCCGGGATGTGCCTTGCTCTTCTTCCCAGGGTTCCATCTTCACCTAAGTTGAGAATCATTGACTTCAAAAGAAATTTTACCTTTGCCAATGTGATCGGTGCAGTGTCGATGAGGGGTCCTTGTTGGTGGGAACTGTGGGGAACTTGGCTTTTGAAGATATCGTCCATTGGGTCATCTGAAAATCGTTTTTATCAAAGAACAAAATATTTCCACTTACCACGTAACCGGCCCATCATGGGGTTATTGTGAATTGAATCGAAGACGGCACTCTGTTCCATTTCAAAAGAGGTTTTGGCGAGTTCCGGGTCTTCTTGGAGAGGATCGTCTGTGTACGCTTCTTCGTCACGCAGTTCCTAAAATAATAACATAGCTTGTGGCAAGAACACATAGATTTTTGCACGTTTCAAAAACCAACCTTTAGGTAATTTTCAATGTTGACGTCTGCTTCCATAAACGAGCTCTGGTTGCGCTCCTTGTCTTTCTGCTGGAGTTCAGCAGCGATGGAAAGGGAGTCCTGTAAAGAAAAATATAGAAAGACTTGGCTTGGCCTTTCACTTTACAATGCCCATCTCATGCAATAATGGGTAGACTAGTTCTCACATTTTACAAAGTTAATGTTCCCCCGGATTGCTCACCCCGTAACTGGGCATCGGATAGTAGGGATAGGGGCTGTGGCGCATATCAGCGAGGACCATATTCGGGTTCAGGTTTGTGTTGGGTGGGTATTCAAGATGCGAAGTGAGGACTGGGTTTGGGGAATGGTCTGGGATCCAAATTGCGGCTTTTCTATGCCCATGGGGCGGGCTAGGGGCGGACGGGGGGTTGCCCGCCCCGAAGGAGGGGCGGGGCTGGGAACAAAAATATTTTCATCGGACTTCTGAAGGGGGGACAGGAAAAAGGGCAGATGGAGTACATGTGTACTGTCCACCTCGACAGCCACAATGCTTCGAGAAGGTTCTAGGCCCCTCATGGGTGGGCCACCAACGGGGGGAAAAGGGGGAAAAGAAGGAAAAGAAGGAGGGGTGTTTTGGGTCCACGTCCTTCAGGACAGAGATCCCTTTCGCCTATGGGCCTAGTAAGTGCTAGGCAGATATTGGGGAGGGCCCTCCGTGATTGTACTTTGTACATGGGTGAGAGGTCAACGGGGGATTATCGATAGACAATTGCTGGTTGGGCGGGATTTCTTAAGAGGAAGTTAGTTTAATGATGGGATGGTCAGGTGAGGACGAGTCACGATATATTAAATATTTCAAAATCGGTAGGTGATTCAGATAGATCATGCGGTCATTTTGACCGAGGTGACTGGTGAATTTTTATGGAAATTTGGATTTAGCCTATTTTCGAAATATCAAAAATACTATCACGTTTCGTGGACAGGAAACTGAGCCCGATAAATCCAACCAATCCCTGACCAGCTAGCCTTGTAAAATCACGCTTACCTTCACACCCATAGCCAATACGTTAGCAGCGTGGTTGTGTCCGTTGAATCAGACTATTTTTTCCAACCAACGCCGAGGGTCTGGGTGAGGGGCGAGCGAAACGCATGCGCAGCGGCCATACACAAAAGAGTGCAAGCTATGGGCACGAATTGAGGGGGGGCCACCCACCCTCGGCTAGCCTGTAAACAACCCCATCGATTCTCTCGCGCCCCTGAATGCCTCAGCGGCTGCGTCCAAAATAAGATTCAAATGAAGGCCTGGGACAGCTGGGCGCGCAAGAACTATGGGCTGGGGGTGGTAGTCAACAATTTTTTGCTGCCCTACGGGCTCGCTAAGGTCAGGTGTCTGCTAGGAATAGTGGAGTAGTCGGTCAGGAGGTCTTGTTTTTCGGGTAGGTCAGATCGAAAAAAAACTAGAAGAAAGGGATAATGAGCTAAAAATCTAACTTGTACACGATCTCGTCTCCCCGGCCGACTTTTAGGAAAAAGTATAACCGTACAATAAAAGCCTCATGTTTTAAAAAAATTCGAACAGGCTAGCATCCCTACCAAAGTCTACCCAACAGCCAGAGTTTAAGCCGAGCCCGTAAATACTGTTCGCCAACCGTAAACAGTACAATAAAATGTGTTGGGACGGGGGCTGGGAGTGGGAGCGAATGTAAAGCTTTTCGGAGAGACGTGGAAAGCGTGAAGCATATGATCGATTAGACGTTCGGCAATCGTGTCGAAATCGGCACTCTGCCATTGCCAAGGGGCTTTTAGGGAGGAAGGGGGGCAGACTGTTGGAGGAAGATAAACTACACGCGCGCTGGTCTGGAGTCTGCCTTTTGCGCGCGACAACTTTAGGCGCAAGCTTAAGGTATGGATAGAAAAAAACTAGTTACTAACACGTAAGATAGTTTATTAGACCAAAAATAAAAACTTTAGAAAAGAAGCTCAAACGAAAGAACAAAAGACAAAGACAAAGAGAATTGGATGAGTCATCGATGTCATATGACCCATCATATACTCCCATTGACCCCGGAACCATGTAAATGTTGTTTTCAATCAAAACGCGCTATTTTTATCGTCGCAGAGATGAGCAATCCGGAAAGAATTCATTTGGTTCTTGTTGATGGCTGCGTGCTTTTGAGTTCGCAGTGGGAATTCTTGTTCTATCTTTTACGTTTACAATGTTCTCCAAAAATACCGACTTTTCGAAAAGACCACAGCTTTAAAAATACAAACCTGACGGCCAAAGGCGCTTCCGTGGAACGTCATCCTGTTTAATTCGGTATAAGTGCCGTCGTCGTCACGGAAGGGTTCGTTTTCCAGGAACTCTTCTTCCTCTTCTTTGCTCTGAAAAAAAGACATTTATATCGACAGTTAGCCATTCCAAATCTGAAAACACAAGATAATTGACCGCGGAACCAGTCAATTGGAGCGGGGTCTTCCTAGATTCTTTTGTTGATTAGATGGAGGGGAGAGGGGACGGGGGCCAAAGTCCGCCAAAAAATGCAAGAAAATCACGGGCCGCCGGAGTCTGGGTCCACTTTTAGCTTTACGAAAATATTCGATGCGGGGGTTTGGAGCAGATGCAGTGGGATGAGGTTATGGTGGGGTGGAGATAGATGTAGCGGATAACCGTGTCGCGGGGAAATGGAGTGATGTTTTGTCTGGATATTTTAAGAATTGATGGTCGCTGTGGAGGGGTTGAGGGTTTGTTAGATGTTTATCAAGATCACATGAAGCTCGGGGTCTTGGGGGTAGAATTTGGTAGAATTTAACATATTGAAAAACTGAGGAATGATTTCCGAAATTGTAAAATATTTTCGATACATGTTCCAACAGGTTTTAGCGGCGTCAGACAAATACGAAAGTCGGGTACATCTGACAGCATTCTCGTGATTTATCGATTGGTTTTGGTTTTACTTTTACGAATCTTTGAAAAAGAAAAGTAATTTCTGAAAAACGTTATGGCGTGTTTTAAAAAGGTAGAAAACACGTTCGAGCCATAATCTAGACTAGTTT